CTAGGGGCAAACCTGGTCCCCATTGCCGTCCCTTTCTTTTGGAGGTAAAAAAAAAAAAAAAAAAACAGAAATAATTGTTGTTCTAATATAAAATTAATGTGAGCAGTGGGGATTCTATTTTCTTTAGTTAAGATATCTTTGACTGCATGGCAACCTATGTGATGAGTGTGACGAGACCAATCTCGCCACATTGCATTGGAGAAGCCTGGTTGCTCGCCTGCTGCCTTTGGACTATGGTCCCCTGTTAAAAGACATCTTTTTTACCTGCAGAAAAGCTTCATTCGTGCTTTTCTGCCTGGGGTTTGGTAGTTTTGGTTGAATGTGTTATACCCCAGATAGGAATCCCATGGAGCCCATTCATATGAAACTGACTGTAAAGACTTTGGCTCCATGGTGATTAAACTGTATTTGTGTGGTCTGAGCGCCATTCACTTAATAATGTGCGCTCAGACCTGAGCTATCTGGGGATATGTTACATGTCTGTGTTTTATGTAATGAATGTGACTTTATGTATTTTAAAGTGTTTTGTGTCTTTTTGCAACCATGTGCTTAATGGAGTCTTGTGTCTGTCCTGGGAGATAATTGAATTACTTATCTCCAGGATAGAAGACTCTGAAACTGGTTTGGGCCAGAAAGCCATGCTTCATTTAGTCACAAAGGACTTTTTACTAACTTTTGAACCCCTTGTCTGATTCATGTCATTTTTTAATATGTTGTTCCCCTGAATGGATTGATTGTGAATATGTAATTTTATGTGAATGTGATGTATGGTTTTAGAGTTATGAAAGTTGGGTAGAAAGTATGTTTTAACTGTATGTGTAATTGAGTTTCCTCTCAGGATAAGGGGAGGGAATATGTGGGATGTAACTGTGATATGATTGGTTGTTTTATACCTCCCTGTGGGTGGTCCTGTATTTGCAAGACTGTAATAAAAACCAGGCTGGGTGTGCCAGCACCTCAGACCACTGCTTGACCCTCAACACGGAGCCTTGTCTCGTTCTTGGGGGGATTCACTGTATGCTGTTAGAGACTGATTGCCAGGAGTGTAAGCTGATTGTCTGCTTTTCCTGTTCATCTGCTAGCAGCTATTTGGGAGGTTCCAGTTCGAGAGTTGGAGTGCTATTTTGTATCCAGTTCAGGAGTTTGGTGTTCTGCAGTAGCTGTGCCTGTATCTCTGGAAAGGGGGCCGTTTGCCTAAACGGTTTTTACCCCTTGTGTGCAAAACGGTCCGTTACAATGAGTAATTATGGTATATAGAGACTGTACATCACATGTAACCAGAATAAAATTGGATTGCCATTTAAAATCGTTAAGAAATAAAAGTAGCGACATAGAATCTTTAAGATAAGATGCATGCATGAGTTTTACAGAAGGTTGGAGAAATATGTTTATATACTCTGATAAATTACATAAAAGAGAATTAATCCCAGATGCATTTGGACAGCCTAAGGGTTATTAATGTTTTTGTGTATCTTAGGCAGGAAATATATGACTGGAATTTTAGGGTATTGTGTATTTAGATAGTTCTTGTTTAGTTAAAATACCAGTGTCTAGGCCTTCCTATAGAAGAGTAGATAAAGTGCATTGCATATTAGGAGTGGAGTCAGAGAGTAGTTTTTCATAAACTTCATTATCTTTTACCTGTCATTGTGATCTTTTTCTATGTACATGTTACTTGATAAAATGACAGTCCCTCCTCCTTTGTCAGCAGGTTTAATCACTATGTCTTTATCATCTTGAAGTAGTTTTAATGCATTTCGTTCAGCAAAGGTCAGATTGTGTGGGTTATATTTGTAGTTGTTAATTTTTTAAAGTTAAAGTCTTTTAGAACAAGTTTCTCAAACATTATCAAGGGTGCAGATTTACAATAGGAGGGATAGAATTTTGATTTTTATTTAGACCAGTGTTTATAAATTGATGATTGGCTGGTAAAATAGGGGAAGGTAAAATTACTGGTTCATTCTGTTTTTCATTAAAAAAAATCTCTTTAAAGTGGCTTTACGGACGAATTTGTTAATGTCTAAAATGCCTCAAAAGGTTTATAGGTTATAGGTTAGTTGGGGCAAATGTCATGCCTTTATTGAGGACAGATATTTGGGTGGCAGATAGGATTTTGTTTAATAGGTTGAACATGCCACAATTTGCTTCTTAGGGAGTGTTTATTATTGCCTTTCTAACCTCTCTCTCTTGTGTTTGTCTGCCGCTGCGTTTACCTCTGGACTTAAAGTTCTTTCTCTTGGTCGTAGTGGGTAGGGTGTTTGAGCTAGTGAATTTGGATGGGTACGAATTTCTAAAAAATGATCTTCATTTTCTATCTCAGAGTCTAATGATAAGAGTTGAAATCTGTTAGGGTGATTTGGAATTGTGGGTGATTTGACATAGTTGGAGCATTGATTTTGGTTGTTGGTGTAGTGGGGCCTTTGGGGTTTAGGTGAATTATATCTGTAACTTTGGCCCTATTTTACTCTCTGGATTTTAGACGTATTACACTACTGGCTGACCTTGTCTCCTTGTTTTTCATACGTGCGAACACCCTGAAAAATTTGGACGCACCTACTTATACTGAAAAACATCAAGCATTGTTGCTCTAGTGAGACTCTTTTTGGACTATTTTACGTTATTTTATTTTTGTGCTGGCGCAGCCCTACCACATTTCTCTGTTTCATAAATCTTCACTGTAAGCCAATCACCCTTTAGACAATAGCCCCCTTTTTAGTGCCCACGAAGGCACATTAGGGGTTTCGTTAGATTTCAGCAGATTGTTATACTAGGAACTCTAACCATAGCATTCCCTTGAGTTCCCGTTGTGTGTACAGTGAATTTTTTCAGCTGATATATAAGTGAATAGTTTCATTATGTTGATTCACATTAGTATCATATTTACAATTTAAAAAAAATAAATCTGTAGTCCCAGTTACTCATCCACTGACTCTATATTGAGTAGTTGCATAAGGTTGTAGCTGATTTTATTATATTTTTAATGATATTGATAAAGGTTATTTTATTTTTATTTTCAGGGCTATTTAGGGATTACTTCCCTTTCTAGGAACACATTGTTTCTTTTCTCTTTTTCACTTTGTAATTTACTGTTTAGTGGTAACTCCCCCCTCTATTTTTTTAGAGTGTTCTTTAAAGCTATTTATTATGTAATACTGACTCTTTCTGTTTGAATTGATCAAATCATCATTTTCATCCATATTTTAAAGCTATTTATTGTGTGAGTGGGTTGGACTACAGCTGGTAAGTGGGGACTGGGCTGCAAGTGCCATAGGGTCCCAGGTTTTGGTCTAACCACTTGTAAATACTTTTGTAAAAAGCCAGGGAATAGTGCTGCATCCTAATGGCACCATAACGTTTGTGAGTGCTACATTTAGACTTTGAAAAAAATGAATGAGTTAGAGAAAGCACAGGGTCAGACCAGACCTGCAACCATAACCTGCCACGTTGTGTATATGCTTTGTGAAGTGTTACAGGAAATTAAAGGATTCTCACATATTTCTATAAAGACACACGATATCCAGTCATCAAGACGTGGTGAAGATATTTTGTAAAGGGATAAACCATTTCAAGAGCCTGCAGTGTTACATGTCCATCAGCTCAATACTTAATAGAAGGGCTGGCATGATCAGAATGCTGGAAAGTTCTGAGGAAATGATGCAGGAAAACACCACGTCTGTGTTTACACATACCATGTACGTAAAGAGACATTCCATACGTCAATTAAGAACAGATGAACAAAATGTTTTTTTGCAGCAATACTTGATGCTGAAAACTTACTGCTAGAGAAAATTAACCCCTGCCATGGTGAATGTTCATTATACTTTCAAATTACTGTTATATTTATGAATTAGTTTTAACCACCTATTATGGTGAACATTACCCTACAAAGTTTTAGACATATATCATGATTTAATTATATTAATTTCCAATTAGAAGGTGCTTTGTCTACCTATTATTTATTTATTTATTCATTATTATATTATTGACTTTCCATCCTGCGACCCATGGTTTGTGCTTATATTGTCTATTACCTGAATTGTAATAGAAACAATAATGTGAACAATTATATCCAATAGCTCAGACCTCAAGGACCAGGACAAGAGACACATGATTTTTCCAAGCGATCTCCTGGAGTGAACAAAGTCAAAACTGGCAATAAAATGTATGTGTATTTACACAAAAAGAGCAGACAGATTTATTCATTAAAAACTAAATTATAGTGAACTGACTTCTGATTGCCAAAATGTAGGCAAATAGCTGATATGGAAACTCCTAATCGAGCCACTCTGGGGAGATCTCAAACGCGAAGTTCATGCAAGACGACCAAAGACTTTGCATGAACTGGAGGAATTTTGCCAAGACGAATGGGCAGCTATGCCACTTGCAAGAATTAGGGGCCTCATAGTCAACTATTCCAATAGACTTTACGCTGTCATTGATGCTAAAGGGAGCAATACACAGTAAGAACTAAGCGTATGCAGACTTTTTAACAGGGGTCCTTTCATTTTTTTCTTTGTTGCCATGTTTTGTTTTATGATTGTGCCATTCTGCTATTACCTACTGTTGAATATGAATCCTGTAAGAAATAAAAGAAATGTGTTTTGCCCGCTCACTCATGTTTACTTTAAAAATGGTACATATATGACTAATTCTCCAAGGGTATGCAAACTTTGAGCACAACTGTATACATGGATGTGAACCCACAAATTCTGAAACCCTCTAATGGTTCCCAGTAGTAGTCATGTAGTAAAGTAAGCCACACCCTTGGGCACACAGGAGTTCCCACTCTTTGATAAGTGCAACAGCAGTTCTCACCGTATGAATATATGGATAAAGGAGAAATAAAAATATATATAGTGTCATGGAGCATCAAAGGCTAGTCACCTCTTGTATTCAAGGGACTCCAAATCGGCAACAAGCGCTTGGAGAAGCAATAAACACACGACACAGATGGTTGTGAATCCAGAATAACTTCTGCTTGTTTATTCAAATTAGGGTGCATTTATACACAATATTGTTACAGCTTAGCTTGAAGGTTTAAAAATAAATAATGTAGATAGGAAAGTCAAAAGATAAAATTAGTTGTTATTATTATTATTATGTTATTATGTATATAGCGCCAACAAATTCCGCAGTGCTTTACAGTGGGTGGACGAACAGACGTAGTTGTAACCAGACAAGTTGGACACAAAGGAACAGAGGGGTTGAGGGCCCTGTTCAATTATCTTACATGCTAGAGGGAGTGGGTTAAAGTGACACAAAAGGTAAGGATAGTATTAGACTAATGACAGTTGCAAGAGAGGAATCAGTTGGGCGCTATTAACAGTTTAATTGATACGCTTTTATGAAGAAGTGGGTTTTTAATGATTTTGTGACGGAGTGGAGACTGGTTGAGCATCTAACGGAGGAGGGAAGTGAGTTCCACAGGAACGGTGCAGCCCTCGAGAAGTCTTGAAGGCGAGCATCAGAGGTGGGAGTACGGACAGAAGATAGACATAAGTCTTCAGCAGAGCGTAAGGGCCTAGACGGGACATACTTGTGTATTAGGGAGGATAGATAGGTGGAAGCAGCATTATGTAGAGATTTAATGTGGTTACATATTTCATAAGATGTAAAATTAGTTTACAAATCAGTATGTGGTTACATATTTCATAAGATAGGAAGGTCGCAAGATAAAATTAGGTAGCAGTTACACAATTTACAGTTTCCAATAAGTGCTCCTAGTTTACACAGAGAGCACAACTTATGCTGACACGTATACATCACTTTACAGAGAAAAGGTTCATTAAATATAAAGTGCATCAGATGTAGGCTTTAATTACGCTGAACATTGGAATCAAGATATATCCCCTCACAATAGTGCTCACTGAATAGAAATAATTAAAGAGATGTACTCACTTGTAGAGTACAAAAAAAAAGGTTTTGCTCAACCCGCATGGTGTGGGTGGTATGTTCCCCACTAACAAAATTGATGCAGCAATCTTCAGGATAAAATCAAGAAGGTCCAATGTTGATAAAAACACTTGTAATATTAAAAAAAAAAGTGCAATAAAAGCATAAAATGTAACACACTGACGGGTTTCCCCTAATTAACAGGCTTTCTGAACGTGTCACAATTTGAGAAAGTCTGCTAATGAAACAATTATCAAAAAAGTAATGTAAAGACAGTAATTCGAAATGTGAAAAAGCTTCTTTGAACAGAAATGTTTAGAAAATGTAAGGACTATAGCCAATAAAGCAGTCTCTCTCAAGTTGATTCCTAGAAACACAACTTCTTGAATATTAGTGTAGATGATAATAAATAAAATCAGGATTGTCTCATAGGATTCCTTTGAGTCTTGGATTTTAGCATGGATTATGATATTTAATAACAGGTTACTCACACAGAAAAGAGACATAAGTAACAATTTGCAGCTCCATACAAAAACCATATGCTCTGTCTGCAAATTTAAAGCCTCAGCTATGTTAAAAATATTACGTTTTGGTCTGTGCAAAAACGATAGAGAAAAGAGAACTCCAACTTTTGAAAACTTCACTACCATGAATTTTCTTTGAAAATATATTAGCGTAACATTTATTTAATAGGAAGCATAGCAAAATAATGTGTCATAAAACAGCAATTTCGTACACAGAGTACAGTCCAGACAAACATAGACAATACAATTATTTACATTTAAATAGTTTTTTTTCCATTTATTTGTTCATCCATTATAAAAATATTTGAGAAATGAAAAAATATACACAATATATGGTATCCCATGCTTTGCAATATTTCACACAGGATCTGAAATAATAGTATAAAAGCAAAAAAAAAAAAAAAATTGTAAGGAAAATGTCAATGGATAATTGACCATCCACTGAACCCTTCCATCATTAAAAGAACAATGTTTTCCTAAACATCCAGTGTGTAGCTTCTGTGACCATCCTTCAATGTGGAAAAACAAATTGCTCTACCAGTTTCTCCCAACTGGGTGTGCAGAGGTAGCAGTCATAGTCACTCCTCAAGACTCAGTAAATTGAATCACTACAATGAAAGGTATTTGAAAAAAGGGTAAAAAGGTGTAGCAGCAGGAGTAAATTAATTCTACCTTTTTTAATGAGGTGGCTGAACAAGGGGATGACTTGTCCCACACAGACATTGCTGTGGCTCAACGTTCCTGGCATGTTCCTAAGTGGAGTAGGAACTGACACTAGCTCCCTTATTATCATCCAATCCTTACAACCCAGTGGGGAGTCAATGCCAAGATAGACTATGGAGTCAAGATAGACTACGGTTTTCCATCTGCTGTTCCAAAATTCTTAGCATGTCTAAAGTGGTGTTCCAACAAGTACTGACATTGTGATAGAATTTATCTTGATTCCAAGGCTCAAGCTTATAGGTGTCATATAATGATACCCTATATTAAAATTGGCTAACCTGGAATCAGGAAAGGAAATGCTTGATGCTTAATACAACACTTAAGACCATATATGTCTAGTTCCGGGAGCAGAGAGCCCCCACCTGAGATGTCTCTTCTCTAATCTTTTTGTCCTTTTTACGTTGGAACTTATTTGTTATGTGTACATGATGTTCATCCCTATGTCTTATCTGTACTCCCTTCCTATTACTGTTCTATGAGTATTTGCACGTAAGCACTTACTTTTTAATGTATAAAACCCAGCTGATGAATAAAACAGCAGAGGCTTATTTTGAATACCAACAGGTGTCTGGTGTCTATTTCTCGCTTCTCCAAGTGCACTTGTAATAATAATTTGGGCTTCCTCTGAATATAACAAAGATCATTATTTGGATCCACAACAACATCCTGTCATAGATGGCGTGTGGGAATCCTTGTTTTTTCTTGACCTTCCTCAAGTATTGGCTGTCTTCACGCAACAGTGGAAATTCCCAGCTCCTGCAAGAACCAAATATGATTGCCAGTAAGTTTGGACCTCCTCCACTAAGATCACCATAGCCAGGCAATGGGGGCTGTCACCAGTGTGACATCAAGGAAAGAAAGGTATGCTGACGGGAAGGAGCACACCTTAAACCTGGGCAACAAGGGAGGTGATTTTGTTAGTCTGCAAATCCAACAAAATGTATAAGAGTGAGCTGGTGGACACTTACTTGGGATGATAATGAGTCCAACAGTTCCTTTCCAAGTTGACTCTGGCAACTACTGGCCCTATCCTCAGCATCTAACTCTGCCAAATGGTGGCAGTTCTGTAGAAGGTTCGGTTGCTGCTGTTGCTTCTTCCCTTTTAAAATACTTGTTATTGTAGTGTTTTCACTCTACCTTATATTTGTCTTAAAAAATGGTTTGCTTCTTGGTGGATATACTAGTACTGTAACTTTTTTGTGTTTGACAACACTACTCACAGAACATAGTGTATTGCAATGCACATGGCTTTGACACTTGGAAAGCACACAGCTGATAATAAGAAATTAAGGCTTTGCAAACATATTTCTTTTTTGCTGTACTCTGTCTGTAACACTTCTATTGCCACACTAAGTTTGGGCAGGGTTCACTTATGCAGTAAACTGCACTCACACACCGTGTCAATTTCCAAAGCACAAGCAGTGGCACAGAAGCACACTGCAAATAAAATAATCTGTCTGATGAGAAAGAGAAAACAAATCAGCTGCATCTGTGGAGGTAGCTAGCATAGCCACACAGCCAGACAGGTTAAAACCACTACAAAGACATTAGAAAACATTACAACCACCACACCATTTTAGAATACTTCTTTTTTTTATATACAGAGAAATAAAAACAGACCTGCCAAACTCACTGCAGGCAGAGTTCGTTTGTGAAGTAAATTGCCACATACTGTAAATAAGTGATGGAACAACCTTGCAATTTTCAAACAACAAGCAGTAGAGCAGAAGTACACTGCATAATCTATATTTTACAAAAAATAAAACAAATAAAATAATATATCGCAAATCATTAAAGTTATTCTAATTTAGTAAACAAAGTGGGTGTAAGTGGCACTGGAAGTAACAGCTAGGAACAAATGAATTTACCAGATGATGAGGGATCCAATGGGTTCTATCTAATCTGCCTCTGTTGGCTACTGGCACTATCCTGACCATTCTTCTCTAAGGGTGGTTGTAGTAGTAGTGGAGAAGAGAAGATACCGTTTGTGGCAAATGGTGACAACTGTGCAGAATCAGATACAGCGGACCTGTTGCCTCCCATAGAATTTTCTTGTTCTGCTTTCGTCCCTCAGTAATACAGCCTTGTAGGGGAATGGAAAGGGAATGTCAATGAGTATAGGAAAGGTAAATATATTATGTACATAAGTAAAGGAGAATATCTAAGTGAGCTGCTAAGTAGAAAATTGGCAGAGGGACAGGAATATCAGTCTAGGTTCCATTCCAATTTTCAAATTAGGGGAACAATATGACACATGGTGAGTAAATGCACTGCTATTTGGCTCTTTTTTCTAAAGGGCATCAGGCAACTAATTTGCTACTTGTATATATTAGGGGCCACTTATTGCACACAAGCTAGGCAGTATCATGCCCCACAGTTTCAGTCCTGGTAGAGAGTAGTCATTACTCATACTCATCCCTCTCCATTACTATTAGTAGCATTTATATTGCTCCAGCATATTCTACAATTGTTTACAATTATTGATTGGTGATATTTGACATAATTGACATATAAAAAAGTATTGACAGAGACAAGAGGTGAAGGAGGTCCTGCTCAAACAAGCTTACAATTAATAGTTTCCCAACATTATAAGTTTTTATCAAGCTTTAGTTTCTGAAGATAGACTTTTGGTGGTAACAGGTGTTATCATTTCATTCTTGGATTTGGACAACACAATATCTTCCACCAGTTCTTTTTTTGCCAGACTTTCAGTTTGTGACTCATGAAAAAGCGATACCTACAAAAAAAAATAAAAAAATCAGTTCCAGGATGTCATTGGATTTAACATGTTGCTTTTATGTTCTTTAGACATTTGAGGAAAAAGTGCGTGAGCAGATCTTCCAAGTCATATTTTTTTTTTGTTTTGTTTAGGTAGAACTGCACCTGTAAAAAGCTGGAATAATACGTCATGTTACAAAGAATACGTAAAACATCAGTGTTTCAATTATCCTTTATTTTTCAGCCTACCCCACCAGTTGAACCTTTACCAACGTATGTTATAAGCTACAGGTTTATGTAAGGTTATTCTTGGAGGTCATGGTGTATGACAGCCCCTCCTCTATTGTCCCAGCAAGTTATAGTCTACCCTAGACAGACTGAAAACACACTTTTATTTAACTACCAGAAGAGACATCATCTCTCTGACAAACAACTATCGATAGTAACTTATTGAACTTATTGATATTTATTATTACTGTAACTACTAACTATTTAAAAATGATGAAAATTACCTGGATATCTCTCCTCTGCTATCTATGTGTTATTAATGAGATTCTGTCACAAGGTAAGAATATCCCACTTTAAATGTATTTATGATATATGGTTTATTGCTAGTTGGTTTCATATTTCATTCTGTTACTCCAGAATATAATTATCTGAGATTAAATACAAAGTGATTGCATTTTATGTGGTAATCCCTAGTTACCTTTTGTCGATATAATTTATGTTTACAACTCAGGCACCAATTAACATACTTTATTTTTATATTTATAGTTTCAAATTGTTAATGTGATGGAGTATGTATCTTCACATAATTACTATTTCTATACAAAACGCATTTATGACACTGTAACAGCAGCCATTAAAATGAATTAGCTCACTAGGCGAATACTGTCTCGGGATTTAACTGTCAACTGAATAGCTTCTTCTTGTTTAATGATTTATTTGGGCATCATGTTGTTTGCAGTGGCATGGTTTGAATGATACCAATAGTTTATTACATTTATTTTTATAAACAAATAAAGTAAATACCTGTTCAGTAGCATTTCATAGACTAAACTGCAACACTAAATTTAAGATAGACATTGTTTTATTTGCATAGGATGAAAAAGCAATCTTATTCTGTAAGAATTATATCATTACTAATAGGTCTTTGTAAAAATAGCAGTGTTAATATTTGTGGTATAAGTATTTAAACATTTCCGTTAACTATTTATTGTGTACGTCTCTCAATTAATTAGTTGTGCTTCTGAGACTAAAACAAAACATGCAGTATTTAGTGCATTCCACTCACCAAACTATATAAAGCCATCTATATTAAAATACTGTATTGTACTACGCTATACAGTTTCATTGTAATAGCAGTTATCTACCTATGACTACTTGTTTTTTCTTCAACATTCTACATGCTAGACTATTGGATAATTTCTTTAAAGAGTTCTAAAATAAGGTTTGCATTGGTAAATGAATGCCAATTACTAATCTCAAAATTTTCTATGAATTTATTTTAATCAAGAGCACTGTGTTGTTATTAGAGCAATTAGAGGGTTTGTCCAATATTTTGACTTGCACAATGTTTGGTGACCAGGTCAATTCCAACCTTATCAACCGGTCTATCAAGTTAATAAGTAACTGGTTATGTTAAGGTATTAATGAAATTAATTAGGTCTCTGAAACAAGTTTGCAAATTCATAGACATAGAAGACTAGCTTCAAACAAAAAAAAGAAAAAAGTTAAAATTAGCCCTACAAAGAGTTCTTTTCATAGAAATCACCTTTCCTCTCGTGTTTATGTTTTTTTGTTTTATTTTACCAATGTTAATAATTCAGTATGTCGCTAAATTTTGTTAAATTTGAAACTGACAAAATTTGCTGTGCTTCATTACAGTCCCTCTCTTTGATTTTTAAACATTAATGAAAATGAAAGTGAAATGTAATATACTGACACAGATGATAGCATTAGGGTGTGAGTTGAAGTCTTGTGTTTTCTATATTTATACACGTATGATAAAGCATTTCAGTATAAAACAGGGACATATATTTCCCTCTGGCTTATGGATACGCTCTTTCCAACCATTACAACAACATAAAGGCCACTACATTTAAGATTCACCATTTTACAGTTTCCCTAGTTAATGTCTCACTCTGTATATCCAAATTCCCTGTCTCCACACAGTAACTATAATCCCTTACTTTACCCATTATATGTCATAGGATAAAACTGATGAAATTCCAGGGAATGGACTGAAACGTGGATGTACTATATGTATTAATATTAACAAAAAAATAAAAATAAATCATATATACTAACATTTTAAATATAACAATTGTTTAATTCTCTGAACACTTTTGTCATAAGTCTAAATGTTTAAATTAGAGAGCTTCATTAAATGAGTGGCCATAAAATATACCTTATTAAGACCAGCTTTCATGATGAGGAACATTGGATTGTGAAATCTTCTGACTTTTTTTTATATATATTATCACAAAACCATCTGAGCGTATTATGTGGTGTGTCAACACTGTCTGCCTCAAAGCTTTTTTTTTTTTATTTTATTAGTTTGACAGCTAAAAATCTTTTGACACCTCTATGTTTTACTAGAATTGTTGGTTGGCTGTTTTGTAGCTCGGATTTGTTCTATGAAAAGAAAAAATATTCAGGATCAAATAGAATCACCAAATCATTGCTCTTATCTATTGAAGCTGACATCCATTTATTCAAATTAATTAACTTCTCTGTTTCTCATAATTTCCATGGGACTCAATGTTTCTTTTTAGTTTTATAGATACATATTTACCACTAGGTGATGATCAATTTACAATTTGTTTATTAAATAACATATTAATGTACTGTAATATACAAAGATGTGTAGTAGAGAATGATTATTAGAATACTCGAGTAATTGTAAAAAGGTCAAATTGCATGGTTGCAGGGTGCTATTAATCCAGATATGTAATACAGTATGGTTATAAGCAGATTGTGTAGTAAAAGTACATTTATGATATTGGGTGGTTAAAATCCACAGTTAATCAAGTGTAATAGACATTACTTACAAGTAGACAGTGTACTACAATCTGAAATATAGATGTGAAGCATAGTAGGGTTACAAGCAGAAGGTGCAACACAATTATAAAATAGTATGCTTAAAGTCAGCTGTGTAATACATTTAGATGCTTTATAACACATGTATAAATATAATGCAATAAATTAAGATGGATAATGCGGCATAATACTGAGTGTTAATCCCATCACTTTTTGCCTAAAAAAATATTAGTAGACATGTGCCATTCGTTTCATTCCGAATGTAAACTCGGAGGAATTTCGTGTAATTCGGACATTTGAATGTAATTCGGACAAATGTCCGAAGTGCCGAAGTTCGGTATTTCGGAAGTGCCGAACAGAAACAAAGTGCCGAAGTTTCGAACTGCCGAAGTTCTGAAGTGCTTCAGATTTCTGAAAAGGGTCAAAACAAGAGAGAGGGAGGGGAAATTACGTGAATGATGATAGGAATCTTGACCAATAAGCTAATTTCTGGCACTGGGAGCCCTATAGATGTGTAAGTAGTTGTGGTGGCAGTCCACGCACTAGGAAGTGGGAGCCGTATAGATGTGTAAGTGCTTGTGGTGGCACTCCCCCTCCTTCCAGTTACTGCATGTAGCGTGGCCAAGCTGACTAGTCTTGCCTAGAACAAAAATAGTCTAGCACTCCTCCCCATATGGTCCATATTAAGGGTTAATAAGCATATATCCCTCTCTGTCTCATTAGAGATTTTTAACTTTAGCTGAAAATAGCAAGGTGAATTGTAAGTATAGGACTCACCTATGACATGACAGATGAGTTTAAACTTAAAAGGCCATTTAAGTGATACAAAAACCCCTCCAGTTATTTAAATGTGCGTAGGGATTTGGGATAGTGTGCAAGTTACCTTTTTCTTTGGTTCTTAATAACTGATATACTGCAGTGCACAGACTCTATATCAGGAGACATGGTCTCTCAGTGTTGCCTTAAAATTTAAATAAATCTAGCTCTATTGTTAGACCAAACTCTAATCCTAGCCCTAAAAAAAATCATGTAAATTTAACGACACATAACACTGAAGCAAGTATTAGACAAAATAATGGCACTTAGGAGTTTTGAAGACATTTATAAACTAATTTTTTAATGTCTTCATATCATTTCAATGGCATCATGTGGTCCATTTGAATGTATCCTCTCTCCATATATAAAGCACATAACAGTGAGTGTTATATTATTTTCATAGCAGATCTTTTGCACTGGGAATTACCAACAATTCCCCTACTTTTGACCATAAAATGCCACTAAAAGTCTTATAAGGACTGACTAAGTTATATATTTCAAATAAGAAACTATTTGCACCTCATTTCCTAACCACTCATTATTATTTTTTTTCTTTCTTTCTTCCTTTCTTTCTTTTTTAAACAGTCACCGTCCTTGATACGTCTACATCGGTGGGAGCCATTGACTTTCAAGAAGAAGAATTATATTCAGTTGGTCCAGGTACCCTCAAAGAATATACCCTCTATTCCTTTGTAAAATCACTTTGGCTAAGACAGACTAGCTTAACTTTTATTTATTATCATGGCAAAAATAATAAATCTTGAGTGACAAAATCAACTTACCTCTTAAATGTATAGTTAGCCTTCCCTAATCTAGCCTATGTCTACCCTACCCTAATTTACTCCATCCTATGTAAATATATTAGAGTTCCTATATACATGCCTCATAATATTTACAATACAATAACAACTAAAATCAATTTTATATTCTTTGTTATAACAGATAGTTCAGGAGTTGTATCTACTACAACAACAGAAACATCTACTGCTGAGGAAGGTTCTGGGTCAGAACCTGGAACAAGTACAACAGATGAAACATCTACAGTTGGAACCCCAAGTGTACCACCTGATCTTTACACTACTGAGACAACAACAGTTGAGGAAAGTTCTGGTACTGAAGCTGTATTAACTACAACAGAAATAATATCTACAGCTGAAGAAAGTTCTGGTGCAGAAACATTATCGAGTACAACAGAAGTCATATCTACTCTTGAGGAAAGTGCTAGTACTGAAACTGTGTCAAGTCCAACAGAATTAACATCCACAACTGAGGGAAGTTCTGGTACAGAAACAGTCTCAATTACAACAGAAGTAACATCTACAACTGAGGAAAGTTCTGGCATAGAAACTGTATCAAGTACAACAGAATTAATATCTACAGCTGAGGAGAGTTCTGGTACAGAAACTGTGTCAAGTACAACAGAAGGAATATCAACACCTCAAGACTATTCAAGTGCAGAAACTGCATCGAGTACAACAGAAGTAACATCTACAACTGAGGAAAGTTCTGGCACAGAAACTGTATCAAGTACAACAGAAATAATATCTACAGCTGAGGAAAGTTCTGGTGCAGAAACATTATCGAGTACAACAGAAGTCATATCTACTCTTGAGGAAAGTGCTAGTACAGAAACTGTGTCAAGCACAACAGAAATAACATCTACAGCTGAGGAGAGTTCTGGTACAGAAACTGTGTCAAGTACAACAGAAATAACATCTACAGCTGAGGAAAGCACTGGCACAGAAACTGTATCAAGTACAACAGAATTAATATCTACAGCTGAGGAGAGTTCTGGTACAGAAACTGTGTCAAGTACAACAGAAGGAATATCAACACTTCAAGAATATTCAAGTGCAGAAACTGCATTGAGTACAACAGAAATAATATCTACACTTGAGGAAAGTGCTAGTACTGAAACTGTGTCAAGTACAACAGAATTAATATCTACAGCTGAGGAGAGCTCTGGTACAGAAACCGTATCAAGTACAACAGAATTCATATCTACAGCTGAGGAGAGCTCTGGTACAGAAACTGTGTCAAGCACAACAGAAATAACGTCTACAGCTGAGGAGAGTTCTGGTACAGAAACTGTGTCAAGTACAACAGAAATAACATCTACAGCTGAGGAAAACGCTGGCACAGAAACTGTATTAAGTACAACAGAATTAATATCTACAGCTGAGGAGAGATCTGGTACAGAAACTGTGTCAAGTACAACAGAAGGAATATCAACACCTCAAGAATATTCAAGTGCAGAAACTGCATTGAGTACAACAGAAATAATATCTACTCTTGAGGAAAGTGCTAGTACTGAAACTGTGTCAAGTACAACAGAATTAATATCTACAGCTGAGGAGAGCTCTGGTACAGAAACCGTATCAAGTACAACAGAATTCATATCTACAGCTGAGGAGAGCTCTGGTACAGAAACTGTGTCAAGCACAACAGAAATGACATCTACAGCTGAGGAGAGTTCTGGTACAGAAACTGTGTCAAGTACAACAGAAATAACATCTACAGCTGAGGAAAACGCTGGCACAGAAACTGTATTAAGTACAACAGAATTAATATCTACAGCTGAGGAGAGATCTGGTACAGAAACTGTGTCAAGTACAACAGAAGGAATATCAACACCTCAAGAATATTCAAGTGCAGAAACTGCATTGAGTACAACAGAAATAATATCTACTCTTGAGGAAAGTGCTAGTACTGAAACTGTGTCAAGTACAACAGAATTAATATCTACAGCTGAGGAGAGCTCTGGTACAGAAACCGTATCAAGTACAACAGAATTCATATCTACAGCTGAGGAGAGTTCTGGTACAGAAACTGTTTCAAGTACAACAGAAATAACATCAACAGTTGAGGAGAGTTCTAGTACAGAAACTGTATCAAGTACAACAGAAGGAATATCAACACCTCAAGAATATTCAAGTGAAGAAACTGCATCAAGTACAACAGAAGTGATATCTACTCTTGAGGAAAGTGTTGGTACAGAAACTATGTCAAGCACAACAGAATCAATATCAACATCTGAGACAATTTCTGGTACAGAAACAGTCTCAAGTACAACAGAAGTAACATCTACAGTTGAGGAAAGTTCTAGTACAGAAACTGTATCAAGTACAACAGAAGGAATATCAACAGCTCAAGAATACTCAAGTGCAGAAACTGCATCAAGTACAACAGAAGTAATATCTACTCTTGAGGAAAGTGCTGGCACAAAGACTGTGTCAAGTACAACAGAAGTAACATCTACAACTGAGGAAAATTCTGGCACAGAAACAGTATTAAGTACAACAGCTTTAATATCTACAGTTAATGAAAGTTCTGATACAGAAATGGTATCAAGTACAACAGAAGTAATAATGACATCTGAGGCAATTTCTGGTACAGAAACAGTCTCAAGTACAACAGAAGCAATATCTACAACTGGGGAAAGTTCTGGCACCAAAACTGTACCAGGTACAACAGAAGGAATATTTACATCTGAGAAAACCTCGGGTGAAACAACTGTATCAAGTACAACAGAAAGTATATCTACATCTGAGGAAAGAACTACAACTGTGATAACTTCTAGTGCAACACAGGAGCTGAAAACAACTGAAAAAGTGTCTACAGTATCTAGTTCAGTATCTGAACAAAGTACAGGGGATGATCAGTCTACGGCATATATAAGTTCTACTACAGTATCTGAACAAAGTACTCTCAATGTCCAAACTACAGCTGAAGTAAGTGCTGGTTCGACTGTAGAAAGGACTACAGCTGAAACTTTACCTAAAACAACATATGGCCTAATTACTTCAGAGGGAATAACAGAAGCTAACGTAACTACAGCAGAACCTAAATCAAGTACAGTTGCACTTAGTTCAACGGCTCCAATCCAATCTACTACAACACCTAAAGTAAGTACAACTCAAGAAAGGACTACACTTGAAACCAAATCTACTGAACAAACGAAAACTGCATCATTGACATCTACTACCTCAGTTTCAACTGTAATAACAGAGAATATTGCTGCTTCTTCTTCTGTAATATTGACTACACCACCACCAACAAATAGCACATCGATAACAACAATATTAACAACTTTATTTACTTCTACATCTTTATCACCTTCAACAGCCAATAGCACAGGAAGTACTTCTCTTTTTGTATCAACCACACCAACAACAGATAACACATCTGTAACAACGCTGACACTTTCAACTGCATCTACATCTACATCATTATCTTCTACAACCAAAAGCACAGAAACTACATCTTTTTTTGTATCAACCTCACCAACAACAAAGAGCACATCTGTAACAGCATCAACCCTAACATCCACGGCTACTTCTGTATCTCCAGTATCATCTACAACCACAATAACCACAAGCACATCTTCCTCTACAGTGTCAACTACACCAAGACCATCAACAAAAACCTCTGCAACCCCAGAAACAACAACTCCTACCTCAACCACTACCACTACTGGAGCTGCAAAAAAAGGTATTCACATGATAAAATGATCATAATAACAAGCCAATTCATACTATTAATAATCTATAGATGGTGTGTGAAATTAAGAAGCTATATAAATGCCATTAGAATGACTGGTGGGGTCAGTAATACATCAGCTTGATATTGCAGTGAATAAGAAAGGGCAACTGCCCTTCTGTAAACGTGGATTCACCTCTTAATCACATGTTGAAACATGTCATAAAGCTATGGCCGGAGGATATTAGTGAATGAACAAATAAACTGTTATTCCACCATGTTTATGTATCCTATTTTAAAAGGTTCAGACAATTTTGTATGCACAATTCAATAAAGTAAAAGTTCAACACTTTTCATACTTTCAAAAAGTGATACATCCGTGCCACCTTCAAATGATTTGTCCTGGTTGTTCTACAGAACATTTGATATATTTTAACAAAAGCTATGCAATTGTTAATTTCAGTGACTTCAAGTGCTAAGTAGTAAAGCTTTAAATTCTGTTGGTGACTAATTGAAAAGTACCAACTATTTTCATCTTATCTTTCTGCTTGCTGTTTCAATATAGTATGAAAAACAGTGACATGCTCTCTGACCATCTAATGCCCTAGCTATAAGATTGGAAGAATTGCTAGGCAGTCACAAAAAGGAAGCCCCTATCATATCTTCAGAGAGCAATTCCCTAATTCCCTGGGTCATTTAATCACTTGCCTTGTCCATTTGCCAGTCTCTGAGAGGCCTGTGCAGCTTTCCCGGTATGTTTTGGAAAAGATTAAAAGAGAGAAGTGTTGCTCTCAGGGATTAGAAATTAAAGGGACATTGCAGTCAACAAAACAACTTTAGCTTAATGAAGCAGTTTTGGTGTATAGATCATGCTCCTGTAGCCTCACTGCTCACTTATCTGTCATTTAGGAGTTTGATCACTTTATTTATGCAGCCCTAGTCACACCTCCCTGCATGTGACTTACACAGTTTTCCTGTAAAGAGTAATCTAGTGGTTATACTTTATTGCAAATTCTGTTTAATATGTAATTTCTCTTGCTCTGTTAATAGCTTGCTAGGCCTTGCAAGAACCTAAAGTGTGTAATTAAAGTTCAATTTGCAGAGCAGGAGATAAAAACATATAGAGTAAGTTAACATCTGCTTGCAAATGAAACCATTTTGTTTTCATGCAGGCTGTATAAGTCACAGCCAGGGCTGCATAAACAAAAATAAAAGTGATTTAACTCCTAAATGGCAGATAATGCACACAAACTGCTCCATTAAGCAAAAGTTGTTTTGCTGACTATAGTGTCCCTTTAAGTATATGAAAAAAAACAGTTTTCCAAGCCCTGTTCATGGAGGGCCTAGCTATCCTCAATTTAAATAACAGTTGCAATACACAGTGGTACAGGAAAATAATATATTGTTCCATTAACTCTAGTTGTCTGTGTGCTCATCAGAAATTGTATGTGCATGCACAATCGTAGGCATTTGAATTGTATTTTCTCTGTGGCAAGTGGATGAATAACATTTACATAAAAAAGTATATATATAAAAAAAATGTCAAAATCAGTAACAAAATAATAATGCAAAACCTGTGGTATCCCAAAACTGAAAAGATAAATACCGATAGCTACGACTTTAATATAAGACACAATTAAATAAACAGAAAAATATACTCTCTATTACGAGAGTGGGCTATGTACATAATATCCTGAGACATCTCACACTGAAAATATTAGGAAACATAAAACTAAACATGGAAAGCTTTCATGATTCTAGTACCCAAGTAAGCTAAAAACAATACATATAAGCTTTAAAAATTGTGCGATCTCTGGATTGTTACCCCCACCAGTGAGTAAACAGGCATGATCATCACCCTGAACATTTAAACAGCTAATGCATTAATTGTTACACTAGTAAGAATATTGGCAGAAGTTGATGTTTCAGATTCGAGGCCCCAAATGGCATTAATATGTACCATCATGTAGTCCTTAAACATTCTGATACTCTGGAACACATACTGAAAAATACCTTTTGTCAGTAATTAAAACTAGTTTTAGCATTTTCATGAGTGCAATTGATTGCTGACAATTTATTTCCAGTATTAAATAGTTTAATCTCTTTCATGACCTTTAATTTGTGGTAAAATAAACATGATGTTCTAGCAAATTAATAAAAAATACTTTGAAAATTATAGGTGGTGTTTATCAAAGCTAAACAAGATTACTCCCAATCCAAAGTTTTCATTTTGAAGCCACCACCCTAGAGACAATTGGAAAGTTCAAATTTAGTACTTGCCCACATAAATATCTTCAGGAATATGGCCCAGTTTATAAATTGTGAAATACTTATATTTTATATCAATGCTAACTTTCTTATTTTCATTTAAAATAATGTATTGTGTGTTTTCTAGCTGTCTCTCTTTTCGACTATGGTGTTGCTGTTGGTGATCAAGAATGTGTATATAGGCAAACTGACTTCACCTGTCCACTGTTGGAGCCACCTATGGGATTTCCATTTGGCAAACAGCTGAGGAACTTTATATATGTTAGTATTAACTCTTACAGTCATTATTCATTTGGTTTATTGCTTACTGCTCTACATAATAAACAAAGCTCATGTTTTTTTTTTTTTTCTAGTACACAGACAATGGGCAGATTGTCTTCCCAATATCCAAGAACAATGTCTTTTCTTACACTAATCCAACTGGATTTTCTAACAATTTTAACGTGGCCATGATAGGAGTATTTTGGGATGATGCAGATTTCTCCAAAAACATTGGAACTACCTATTACCAGGTTACTTTTTCTAATATTTAAACTATTTCATTATATCTTTTCTGTGTAAATGACAAAATAAAATGAAAATAAATAAAAGCATTTAACTAGTAAGCCCTAGGGTCTAGATATTGTCATTAACCATTTTAATGTTGCTTTCGTATTTTCCTTTATTTAATTTTATTACGTGGATTACATTTGTTGACATTTCAAAATGTAATATTAAAAAATGAGCGACAAGGTTTATGCACACTTTGATATATATGATTATCAAAAGCCATCTCTTGATAGAAAGTTTAATCACTGTTTAATATTATACTCGAGAGGATTCTACTCAGAATTTTAAAATGTTTCCTTTATTAATTTTTCCAATCTGGCTACTATGACCTACAATTTGAACAATTCAAGCTTAAAGTGCCTGAATGGTGGATTACATCGCTGGCAGTAGAGGGGTTGAACTCTATATGTGCAGCATCTCATTGAGAAAGGCTGCACATATAGACTCCTTGACCACTTCAAATTGCTGAAGTATTAATGGCACTTGGAGCAACCCTTTGAAACTAACAATTAGCCCTGTGTGTGTCAATATTTTTTTTATATTGAAGCAAAGGCTCAATGCTGTGCACACTCCATACAAGCAAGATAAAAGGACAAGCAAGATAAAATCAACTAAGTAGGTGGGGTGCAGAGCCAAATACCTCCCTTGCCAATCAGCATTTCCTCATAGTGATGCATTGAATCAAAGCATCTCTATGGGGAAAGTTCAGCATCTCCATGCAGAGCGTGGAGACACTGACCGTCGGTAGTTGTTCTGGTGACTATAGTGTCCCTTTAACATATATTGCCACACTTTTCTTGAGGCTTTCATACAATAATATCAGCACAACAGACATCTACTGTGCTACATGCCCAAGCAGTCATCTATGTATTATAGTTTGCATGAATACAAAAAAAATTGAACAATACAAACATAATACGTTAATTGGATAGCACTCTGGTCAATAGCTCCTTCTGTTATCAAACAGTGCTTTAGTAAGTAAATAGGTCCTATGGCCTAGACCAGGGTAATCAATTTTCACCACTCCACATGTTGTGGACTACATCCTCTCTGATGCTCGGCATTATGGCTGTAAAAATGTAGTCAACAACATCTGGAGTTTGTCAGATTGCCTACCCTTTGCCTAGACATTGTATTGCTCAAGGACATCGTAAAGCACGGTTCCAGAGTCTCTTGGCGTCATTGTCTTTAGAATGTATTTTTTTTTTTGTTCAGCATGCCTAAAATAATTACTTGTTGTGTATATTTTGAACATATTCACAAAATGTTGCCAGAATTTAAAAAAAAAAACAGTTTAAAACAGTTTAAACTAGAAATGACTTAAAGCTTATCTAATTAGCACAATTCTTTGTTTTGCATTTTGTTAACAGGTATATAATAGCTCCAGTAATACAACTGCAACCAGTCAGGTGGAATCCATGATTCGGAAGTACAGTCAAACTTCTTATACTGCTCAATGGACCTTGAAAATTACTTGGGTAAAGGCACCTGCATACGGGTCTAATTATAATTTGGTAAGCATACTATAGATTGTCTGGTTAATCATTTCCATATTCACATGTCTTCCCTTGTTGTCTTTGTATTTGTATTCATTTATTTTTGTACTTAATTTGAACATGGCATTTGGTCGTTCATATTCTGCAACAATTATACATTCAGGGAAACACATACCAGGCCGTGCTGACTACTGATGGCTATGTTTCCTACATTTTTATGCTTTATCAAGATGGAGGGATGAACTGGGATGTTACCAATCGCAATAACAATGTTACTATTGGCTACAGCAGGTAACCTCTCTTTATTAAAACCGTCTTAATATTTTTCATTTTAATGAATACAGTGGCACTCAACACAAATTTAATGCATAGTTTGGCCTTATCAATGAACTTTTTTTTTCAGTACTCATATTATCCTTGTTGAGATTTCTGTGGCTGTAAGCTTCCACCTTTCCCACATTTAAAGGGACACTATAGGCACCCAGACCACTTAAGCTAATTGAAGTGGTCTGGGTGCACTGTCTTAGGTCCCTTAATCCTGCAAAGATAATTATTGTAGTTTTTAAGAAACTGCATTAATTACCTTTCAGGGCCAACGCCACCTCTAGTCACTATCTACCAGACAACCACTAGAGAGACATCTGGGCCGTTAGGCAACTTTTGTTCGCCTAACTGATGCTGGGCATCCTCATGAGGACTTCCAGTATCACCCGACTCCCCATAGGAAAGCATTATATAATGCTTTCTGATTGGCAAATTTGAATGTGAGCAATGCCCACAACTTCGTGTTTACTTCCAATGGAAATACTCATTCAAGGAAATAAAAAAAATAAAAAATCCTCTTAAAGCTTCACTAAAACCCAGTTTAAAAGTGAAAATAAATTAAGCAGCGTGTCCTTATCATGTGCCTATATATGATTCCCTCTGCCCCCCAATTTTTAAAACAGCTTACAACATAGATAATATTTTGAGTTTAAAAAAAAATAATAATATTTGATTATTGAGATATTGTATTATGCAGATTTATTTATATTTAAAATAATTATTTGCACTCCTGTTTTTTGTATTATATTAATAAATCTGTAAATGTAACATTTGTTTAGATGTAGTCTAAATTGTTTGAGGGTTTATAATATTGTTTCCCATCAGTGGGAGCAACGATGGATTTTACAAAAATGATCCACTCATGCAAAAAACTGCTGCAGAAAAATATCGTCCTGATGCCCAGGTCCAAGTTGATCCAGGTACGTGATAACAAATGAGAGAGACAAACAAGAACAGCATGATAGGTAAAAAATCAAAAAGTAAACTAATATAAGAGTATATTTCACTGTTCTCAATCCCTCCCCTTCTTTTGTGTATGTAGAAATCAACATATAGTAGAATTATTTTCTGTATATATTAAGGAGGTAGGATTCAATTCAGTAATTTGGTGAAGACTAAAACACACATTTAGTGCTTTTTAAGGGTCAGTATAACACTCATGAGGATGCCTTAAAGGTATTAGAGACAGGTATGGGGCAATACCAATGTCTGGGCAAAATAGATATGTACATTTTTTTTATTTTTAAAGTAGAAGTTGCTAAATTGTTGTTTATGGCCCATTGTTTCCCATCCCCACGACAATAATATAATTCTACCTGTGTATTGCATTTGCACAGCCACCGTTGCCCACACTGATCATCCACATTGATATAAATGCTGGGGCCACAAGTGATAATTTGCCATAGTGCCTAGATCATGCTTCCACTATGTCATCCATTTCTAACCACTCTAACAATCTGGCCCTCATATAACTGAAAATAATTTATGATGAACATCTGAAAGATTATCGTTTGTTTTTTTTTGTTATTAAGAAGTTAACTTATTAATGACAAGGTGTCTCTTATATCCTGGTGCACCCCAAGTGTCTCTTCCTAGCCCTCTCTTTTACATGTCTCTGTTTGGTCACCTTAAATATTTCACTCTGGCCTTCCTGTGCATTTGTATTCCAGAATAGTTATTATGATGTTTGTTGCAATTAAGTGAGTGACCCCAAGTTCTGTTCTATGTACATGGAGAAGAGAACTGCAATTAATTGCAGGGCATACCGGCCCTTGTTCTTTGGTGTCTTCCACATTAAGTGTCTCTTTCTAGCTCCCCCTCCCAAGTGTCTCTTCCCATCTCTCTCTCCAAAGTATATCTTCACAGCTCCCCCAAGTATTTATTTCTGACCCCTTTAATTTTCTATCCCTGCCATGTCCTCGAGCGTCTGTCTCTGCTCATTAAAGTGTCTGTCCTTGAGTTCCTCAAGTGAATATCTCTGTCCCCAATACTAGATGCCCACATGGCTGGCAGCAAGTGCAGTATGTTTCCCCACATTGTCTCTTCTACATGTTAGGTGTGGGATACTCCTAGATGTACATTTTGAAATGTGTGTGCCTGCTTGACATCCATGTATTATTATTATTATTATTATCATTTATATAGCGCCAACAGATTCCGTAGGGCTTACTCTGTACACTCTGCATAATTACTCGGTACCTGTTTTTGCAGATTTACGGGGACTCTGGATGTACCCACTGAACAGTGAGACATTGATCAATAACCGAATGACGTGCCTAAGCTGGTACAATTCTCAGCCTTCCCCTTCTAGTTGGAACATTGGATTATTGTCCTGTCCATGTTTATATCAGCAAGGAAGCTTAGATTTTCGCTACATGAGGAGCAAGCCAGGTAGGCAATCTTTGTCACATGGTTGATGGAATCAGATATTGATGAACTCATACATAGTACATAAGCTTTGTTTGATTATTTTATCAGCATGCAAAGATACTTTAAATGTATAAATTTGCATTAATTGTATCATTAACCACTTAAGGACTACATGACGATCTATGCAGTCATGCAGTGTAGGGCTTTAGTGCTCAGCGATGGCATTTACTGTCATGTAGTAAAGGTACCAGCAGGGGTTACCAAGGACCCCAGTCAACTTTTGATGCATTAATGGTTGGATTAGTGGCATGTTTAGGGGGAAAGGTATTGTGGGCTATCATTGCACCTAAAAACAGAAAACAAGTATGCAGTGTTTTGCAGTAGTGGGACATGTTTGGTCTGTGAATTTACCCAAAAGGAAACATATGTGAAAAAAACCACAAAGAAATTAACTAATTTGCCTTTAGTTTCATAATGCTCTTAGCTACATAGCTGGGAGATATACTTTGTACAATTATATACTTTTATGTAACGGTTTTGGCTTCTCTGACTGCTATTAAAGTTGTAATCTCAGCATGCCAAATTTTACAAAGTTTGAGCTTTAAAACCATAATTCACTCTTTGCAGTTTTTTTTTATAACTTCTAAAAATGAATTGAAATCCTAGTAAAATTGGGCATTTTAACAATTAGTTAGTTTTCTTCACTTGCAGAAATTATTGAATGTAAAACAGAAAAAAAAAAAAATTTAAGTTTTTTTTTACACAATTGTTTTATATTTTCTTTCAATTTAATATTGCATTATGTGTACATATAGGGTATGAAAAGCCCTATTTCACCTTTAAAAATTGTATTTTTAATATGTATGGGTATACTTTAACAGAAGGAGTAAATTGTCAAGGAATGAGTCCATGGCAAAAAAGCTAAAAAGGCCTTGGTCACAAACGCATTGCATCTCAGGAAAGCCTTGGTCCCTAAGGGGTTAAGCAAACATGTTGACATTTTTTATTTACAGTCCAGTCTGGTACAAATATACTTCGGCCCTTATTTCCAAATTGGAGAGATGCAGGTGTAAGATGTGTGTACAGCAGGTGGAATGACTATATTCAAGGTTTTCAGGAAAGGAACTGGACATTTGGAGGCAATGGTGAGTGCAGTTTGATGTTTCAGTTTCTGTGAGTTGTCAGGTTGTGATATTTCTCTCATTTGACCAATTCAAGGTAAAGATGTCATGCACCAACTATACGCATGACATGTTTGTTTTCTTGCAGGTGTTTAAAAATTGTGCCTGAAAAAACTGTCAGCAAATGTATAGCTATAGCTTTACTAACCTTCAACATGGTTTCGAGAAATAACTGAGATTTCAGCATACACATATCTCGATGTCATAAATGAGTTACATTCAGTGACTTACAGTTCTGTGCTATAGAGCAGCTAATTATCTCCTTTTGGGAATTTGTTTTGATATGCACATTTTTGATGCTCTTAGAAGAGATGTAGCTGTATACTTGGATACAATGAATATTATATTAATGAATATTATAACTTGGCCTTGACCCTTTAAACAAAACATAAGGAGTGATGGAGCTCTCAAATTAATTCAAAATGGACAAACAATTCATACAAATATATTGTCAGTAGAACCCAAACACTTTCATGCATCAAATTAAGAAAGTATAATCTCAGCAATCTATATGATTATTTAAGCAAATGTATCCAGATAAAAATCACAAAACTCATCTTGGTGATATGTTTAAATATGTTCTAAAGTGGATAATTATTCAGTTCACTCGCGCCCTTCACCTTATCTGGATCATTCCAACTTATCTGGAGAGTTCCAACCCTATGTGGAATTGTGCTGACTGTAAGTTCCCATAACTCGTCCAACATCAGTTCCATTTCTAGCACTTTATTCACTATACTTTCATTGTTACAAATAGCAGGCTTCTCCTCTTGAGTTCAACAACTGTGCAATATGCTTCTGTAAAACACACAATAATCTACAAGTTTAAAATCTCTGAAAATGTGCTTCATCTTTCCAGATTTAGAGACTAGTTATTATGATGTGTGTTGCAATCAAGTGAGTGACCCCAAGTTCTGTTCTATGTACATGGAGAAGAGACCTGCAATCAATTGCAGGACATACAGGCCCTTGTTCTTTGGTAAGTTATACATACAGCTCTTAGATATAGGATACAATTGTTTACTTACAGCTTCAAATTTTACAAATGCTTAATAAATAAGGAAGGACACTCAAATGATTTGGACAGAGTTGAAACAGACTTGTATTTACTTTCATTAAGACAACATTGATAGTGTCTGCTTAGTCTATACAAACCTGCTGAATGCTGACAATCTATGGATTTTTGTATCTATGCTATTGCTCCATGACATGTTAGTTAGTTTGTTATTAATTTGTTATTCGATATGGGTCTGTAGACTGAATAAACCTGAAACAAAACCTATTCATTATATTTTATAGGGAGAATGGAGTGAGTAAATACATTTTACACATTAAATACGTTTGTCTTTTACTATCCATCCTTCTACTCTATGTAGTTTATAATAACTTTTTGTCTTCATCAACAGGATGGATGTTTGGAGACCCTCACATTACCACGCTTGATAGTGTCGGTTACACATTTAACGGTCTTGGAGACTTTCTTCTTCTCAGTGCTGAAGATTCTGGCATTTCTTTGACTTTACAGGGTCGCACAGTGCAGACTGGTACTGCAATGGCCACTAACTTTCAGGCTTTTGCTCTGAACTACAACTCCACCACTGCAAATATTATAGTGAGTTTGAAACTTAAGCAAATGCATTTGAATTTATGTGAAGTATATTGGTATTCAATATTGGGAGGATGCTGTGGGGAGAAAATATAACTGATTTTTGTTATTATGCAAGGAATATTGATTTTGCGTTTCTAATATGCTGCATTATTTTTTGTGACATTTATTTTGCAGGTGGAGTGGTATCTCACAGGTAATGAGACTATAACAACTTATGTGAATAGCCAGGTTGTCTCCTACACATATTCTAACGGTATGCAAAATATTTGTTCTATCTTACTAAATGTCTTTAATGTTACCAGCATGTTTGAGTTCATATTTATTGTTTGAGAAAATGTAAGACTATTTCGATGCATAAAACAGTACAACAGTCAGTCTGTATAGTTTTGCTCAACTAATTACTCAGTTTAACAGATTATTTTTATAGCTTAATGGACACATTTTTTGGGGAACGTAGTTAAGAGTCTGGTAAGGAAGTAGGGCACTAGAAGCACAGTGCTGAGAATAAGTGAACCTTTAGAGTTTTGCCACCAAGTAAGGTGGATACAACTCATTGCAAATCAGCAGAACTCCTCAAACCATGAGTAGAGTTGAGCTAACTCTGTCTGTGTCCCTTCAGATGCAAATCCAACCTAAACCATTATGTTGACGGTTTATGTGTCACTATCAGCAATCCTCCATGTTCTCTAGATATAAACTCATTGGTGGTTGCAAACTACACACACACACAAAAACAACACTTCATTTAAAATTGGCTCAGGTTCTAAATTAGGTTCTAGTTGTTTCTTTTGAAAAAATGCTTTAAGCACAATTTTCTAGTGTAACGATTTATGTCAACTAAGGTTTCCAATTTGTTTAGTGAACAGCTAGGGGCAAATTTAAAACCATTAGTTAAAACTTTAGTTTGTGCAGTAGAGAAAACTTTTTGGGAGAAATTAAAACCTCTGTCATTAGTCTTTTTCTCCTTCCGTTTCTATTTCTCCCTCCTCATTTTCCTCTTCTATTGCCCTGTGTCTTTTCTTTTAAGTATCTTTTGGGTAGTTTCCCCACCTTGGTCTTTGTTCTAAAAAAACACTTCTTTTTCGTCTGTTCTCTCTTAAGGTTTTAAACCTATTTCCCAATGGTGTCTGATAAGGTTAGTCTATTAGGACTTATTCTTCAATTTCCTACGTCCCTTCTCTGTGGCTATGGACGATTTCCTTGGGTAATGGGATTGGATGCTCTATTAGGTCTTTCAACTTCTTTTGCATTCTCCCTAACCTGTCTAGTAGTTTCTTTTACTCTCATCCATGAAGGCTTTCTAATTTGACTTTTCAGTTTTGGGGATTTGAGAAAATGTCAGAAAATTCCTCCTATTAAAATCTTGCTGATTACCTCTATTGTTGTTTTGTCTCTCTGGATTTCTATAATTATTGTGGATCCTTCTAACTTGATTATTAGCATAGTCATCCATGTCTCAAATTTTTCCAAATTAATCTTAGATTTTTCAGCTAGGCTTTCAAAATCTTAAGTGCCTACAAGAGGTTCCAAGAGTGTTTTGATTTCTCTGATAAAACCATCTATTTAGTTCATCGATGATTATATTAGTCATTGTTACAGAGAATGACTCTAACGCAGAGGTCCGTATTTTAATAAAGCTCTCCTTTTCTCCGTTAAACGTGGGAAGTGTGGTGAATCTTTTTTAACTTATTTAATATAGCTGAAAGAATTTTTTATGTATTGGTGACCAAAGAAATATTGAGTGTAAGGTAAACCAAAATATCTCTTTCTGTGTGCGCAAATTGCCTTACTTGTTTCCAATTTTATCAAATGTTTACGTGTAAACAGTGACATTACACTTGGGTAATTTTTAGCTGCACCAGACTGCTTACTTTAAAAGCGCCACTCTCTTCTTTATTTCTTATCTTTTTTATTGAACTCACAAACTAACAGCTTAAAAGAGAATGTCTATACTAGACCAACATTACCCTAAGAGACATTTACTTGTAATTTGATGTATATACGTTTAAAAAGATAGTGAGTATTATAATATAGAAGGTAATGTTTACACATGAACAGGGTTTACAGTGATGTGCGCCCATGCATTGGGTCAATCAGAAGAAACACCTGGTGCTACAGTGTTTTTTCTCAAACCTACAAGTATCTTAAAGAGACTTTTTGTTATGTTTTGTTTTTTCACTGTGAATGACAATGACAAGTGACAGACATACTCAATAGGCTGCAAAAAAATAACTAAATATATAACTGAAATGTATTTGTAAAAATAAAATCAGAGACATGCATTTTATCTACAATTTTAATTTCCAGATTTGGAAGGAGATATGAACAATGACACGTCAGGTGTCATCCTTATGAAGGACAGTACCTCAGTCCATACAAATTTTGAAGGCCTTTTCACTGTGACTGTGTCAGCTAGCTTTGGAATGATGAATGCCATTACTAATCTACCAAACCAATTTTTAAATAAAACCAAAGGCTTGATGGGTAGGTATTCCTTCTCCAGATATTTCAATTTAATAGACCAATAAAAAAAAAAAAAAAAAACAATGTGAAGACCAATTCGGATTCTCAGAATGTTTACATTTGCTGATTTAGGTGTTTACTAGCACATTTCAAATAATATGTAAAAAAAAAAATGTAAAAAATATACAACGTAAAAAAATGCTAATGTGTGCATCTATTAAAAATGGCAGCAATTATGTGTTTGTTCCACCTTAATTTAAGGATTTCTCTTTAAGTGCACCCTTACATGTTTGGTTTTAAAGGACAGAAATAGCTTTCTTTTAATATCCTATACCTAACACAACATTAAGTATAAATAAAGTTTTAAAAACATTTTTTTTACAGTCTTGCTTGTAATATGTTTTATGTATCAAGTGTCACTAAAGAAAAGGAACTAAAGTGAGAATTCAAAGGGAATTTCCAATTTAAGGTTAAATTAGCCAAACTTGAAAACATTTTTCAAGTCATCTATGCTCTCAGTTTGGCTACATTGGACTTAAATTTGAAATTCACTTTTAATTATCACTTTGGTAAATATCCCTAAAAATAGATTCACGTATCAGTCCTGATTGTTGAATGCCTCATATGTTTAGGATTTAAAATATTGTTTTGTAGTTAATGCTACATGATACAAACTGTAACCTTAACCCTACACCGAACCCACCACTAAGCCCATGCTTATACTAACTCTAAAATACCTAACTATACTCCTAACCATAACTCTACTCTATCCATAAACCAACATTTACCCTAACCAACCATTAACTGTTACCATAGACCAGGGATAGACTCCAGATGTTTTGAACTTCATCTCTCTTACAGTCATAATACTGGCAAATCATCATGGAAGATGTAGTCTGCATCAACTAGAGTGCCAAAGGTTGACTAGCTAACCTAACCGTGAATGCTGATAATAATAATTTATATTGTATGTCCTCAAAGTTACTTATTTATAAAAAGCCTAGCTTAAATATTCATCACCTTAAGCCATTCCACAGTTTGCAGTGTTAGAACTTGGAGTAAAAAGGAACCTATCAAGTTTGATCTCATAAGATCATACAAGTTGCACCCAAGCGTATTTAGTTTTTTTTTTTTTTTAAAGTGGGATAATGTAACAAATAATTGTCTGCTTTTTTCTTTAATTAACTTTGTGTCACAATGTAAATATTTTACACCTTCAAAATGATAGGTTATAGATGGTAATGGTAAGGATCCTAAACTATATACATTTTATATTCCAGGTTGAAATATCTAAACTTTTAAAGGGGGTAAATAACCAATAATTACCATTTTTCCTTTTTAGGAACGTGGAACAATGACAAGACTGATGAATTCACTAATCCAAATGGAACAGTAATTTCCAGCCAAAGCACAGAGGAAGAAATATTTAGATATGGGATGACATGTAAGTTTCACAACGATTAGACTGCTACCTATATAATATTAGATATGTATATATTTTGATGTTACACTCTTATTGTAATCTGCCAAGATTTTCTACATTGAATTTTAAATAACATATAATAATACAGGTGCCAACATGGACAGACCATGCATTGGTAAAAATGGGGCCAAGGCCCCAGGCAGCAATTTTATAGGGGTAGCATTTTGCGCCTCTGTACACTTTAAGTAGCCTGCTGTATGGAGCCCAGGCTGCATATATATATATATATATATATAGTGAGTCTTACTATATATATATATATGCAGTTCGGTGCCCCTGCTAGGTTGTACATCGAAGATGGGGACAGTTTCCGCCATTTAAACCTGTGGCCACACTCTCGTGGCTAGTGAGAAAAGGAAAGGACCTGATGCTGTTGGAGGTGTAAAATGAGACCCGATATTCAATGTACAAGCATGCTGTGCCACAGATTACCAGGGAATCTAGTGTCCCTTCTCCCTGCATACAAGTAAGAGGCAGGGAAGGGGGAATAACATAATTATCAATTTTTAAAAAATGGCTCACACTTCACAGACCGTATTCAACACCACAAACACACACATAGCATGCATTACACTGACTCTGCATCCACTATACAGACACTGCATCCACTACCCACACTGCATCCACTACCCACACTGCATCCACTAAAAATTACAGTTTTCTGAGATGCATCTGTAGCATCATTACTATTAAGCCATGTCACTTTACTGTAAAGCTGCAGACCTGCAGGCTTGAACATTGTAATTAAATTCCCTGTGACACCTACGTTACTGTTTCTGATAGAGTTCATTAGCAAGTTTGGACCAAATTAATATGTTACACCCAAAGCAGGTGGGGAACCATCACTTAAAGTATGGTAACTCTCCTCCTACTGGATGTTACATTGGCTTTGTAGGCCTGGCAACAAGACTCTGGAGCAAAGCCTGGTATGTTCCCAAGAAGGATCGCATGTATGTAAATTTAAAATGCGAAACATATGCCTGATTAAAGTTGTGGAGAGATTAAAACTGATGAAAGCAGTGGAACATATAAAGAATTTGCTTAAATCAGTGGGTACTTTTTATTATGTTTTACTTCCACCACAACTATAACATGGATGGACGGATGGATAGGCAGACAGGCTGATTGATTCATGGATTCATTCTTTCTTCTAGATAGCTTAGTTTTTTTCTAAAATTTAACCTAGGGTTTATAGATAGGGTTTATAGATCATGTATAACTGTGTTTTCAGAGTTTACATAAATAATTTGGGAGGTTTTGTCAATTTATAATTTCAACAGAAATGTGATGATGTTTAACTTTAAAATTCCTTCCACTGGACCAAAGATGCTTCATCCCAATGGGGTAAAACAGTGACGATCTCTGCTGTTTTTTGGTCCATTCACATCGTAAAATGCTCTGTTTTAAGAAACTTGAGGCAAACAATGGTTACATCTGTGTGAAAACATGTTTGTTTTTATTTCAAAGGGGAAGTCACTAAAAGTTTGTTTAGCAAAGTGAGTGCAACAGCAAGGAGTACAAGCACTTTTACACCTCTCTTCTTGAGCGATTTGAAAAATCAGAATTCTGAAAAGTATGCCTCATTGCTCATCCTTTGTGGCAACAACACGGAATGCATATTTGATGCTCTCTCCACCAATAATACTTCCATAGGCTTAGCTACTCTCACCACGGTTCAGGCATTTGAAAAAGCCAACACCACTCTAAGTAAGTACCATTCTTGTTATAATACACTCCCCACATACTATGAATGTTTTTAATTCTGCTTAATCTGAAATGCTAATTACACTTAAAGGACTACTATAGGCCCCCAGATCCCTTCAGATCAATGAAGTGGTCTGGGTGCCAGGTCCCCCAGGTTTTAAATCTGCAGCTGAAAACATAGCAGTTTCAGAGAAACTGCTATGTTTACATTGCAGGGTTATTCCAGCCTCTAGTGACTGTCTCCCTGATAGCCACTAGAGGCCGCTTCCGCGATTCCCAGTGTGAAAATCGCATTGAACTCACGTTGAGCTCAGTGTGAAAATCGCATTGAACTCACGTAATTCTTTCCTATGGGTGGTTTGAACACGGGCGCGGCTCTGGTCGCGCATGCGCATTTGACTCCACTTGGAAGCTGACGTCGGCAGGGGGAGGAGCAGTCACCTGGACCAAGGGAGCCCGGCGCTGGATTAAGGTAAGTGGCTGAAGGGGTTTTAAACAATGATTTACAAATGATTTGATTTTTAACTCTTTATTTTGGTGTGTCGTTGCATTACATCTTGGTAACGAGGTGAGCATTACATAGTACATGCATTTATAACCATGGGTACAGAAGTATCATGTATTGCATTTATTACATTCTCATGAACCTCAACTCTAGTTTAGGTGTTTTTCTTTTTTGAAAACGCATAAACATTTAACCTGTGAGAGGATCAGAAACCATTGTAGAGATGATTTGATTTTTAAACAGGAGTTTGAACTCCATCATCTTTTGAAAACACTGACTATGATTTTAGTTATGATTAGCTGAAAATATAAATGGCTGAAATTTCCCAGAAAAATATGAAAAATTTACAAAACTGGCCTGTTTTGCATTCTGTATCAAAACACCTATAATTCTTTAAGACTTTTTTAATTTATCAGGAGTAGACAATTGAAGTATTACTAGGACGTAATGCCTTTTTTCTGGAAAAACAGGGACACGCTATAGACATCAGAACCACTACATTAAGCTGTGGTTGTTCTTGTGACTATAGTATCCCTTTAATTTCAAAGCCTGATGGCAGATGTTGGTACGGAGCTCTAGACAGAGGTATAGAGGGGAAATAAATTTTATTTTTCTTTACCTGCAAGGCCCACATTTTCCATCATGTCAATGTGTGTCTGATTGTTTGTGTTAGTGATGTGTCAGTTATGTGACAGTGTGTGTGTAACACTAAGGATATGTAAATGATGTTGCTGTGTGTGTGTGCATGTGTGTGTAAGAGTGTATTTGAGCAATTCATGTTACATATGCTCTGTGGTGTAAAAAGTTTATTTTGTATTTTCCAGACTCCAATCCACCGGTCATTAATGGCAATGCCACCATTCTAAGTTTCATGGGGGAAAAAACCCAAGCACAATTCAGTGCTAACGTGGCTGGAGTCAACTTCATTACTGATGTGTCTTATAAAGATGTTAATTTGACTTGTAAGTGTTTCACATTCAGATTGTTTCTACTATGTATCTCTGTCTGCATGTGTCTGTGTATCACATAAGTATACATTTACACTCTTTGGCAATTTAGTTACTTATGTCTGCTTTTTAAACCCAAATTTAAACATGAGCTTAATCTAACAAGCATATAGAAATGGTTATGATGTTTTGTTGTTTAATAAAATGAGGAAGATGCATGATTTAAGTGAATTTGATTATTGCATGATTACTGGTCCTGGATGCAGTGGTTCTAGCGTATCTGAGACAGATTCCCTTCTGAAACTTCTTGGCAGTTCATAGCATTAATAGAGTATGACAGATAATAGTCCAAAAGACCAAAAAAAAAACAAAAAACAATATATTGTGCAATAAGAGCACAAATAATTAACAGTAATTTTTTCTGTCCGTACTCCCACTTCTAATGCTTGCCTTCAAGATTTCTCGAGGGCTGCACCGTTCCTGTGGAACTCGCTTCTCTCCTCCGTTAGATGCTCACCCAGTCTCCACTCCTTCAAAAAATCGTTAAAAACCCACTTCTTCATAAAAGCGTATCATTTAAACTGTTAATAGCTCCTGACTGATTCCTCTTCTGCAACTGTCATTAGTCTAATACTATCCTTACCTTTTTGTGTCATTTTACCCCACTCCCTCTAGCATGTAAGCTCATTGAGCAGGGTCCTCAACCCCTCTGTTCCTGTGTGTCCAACTTGTCTGGTTACAACTACATGTCTGTTCGTCCGCCCATTGTAAAGCGCTGCGGAATTTGACGGCGCTCTATAAATATCATAATAATAACAATAACTCATACATTAAACAAACATCTGTGTTAGCAATTCACATGATTGATATAGCTTTCAATGTTTAAAATGTCTCGTCCCTCAATAATATTTTTGGAGAAGCTGTTCAAATGGTTTAATATAATAAAAAAATCTTAAAATTTTATAGTATTTTGATATATTTTTATGTTGATATACTTTTTAATATATGATAATATTTTGATCTTTTACTATTTTGAAAAAATAATAATTTGAAAATGTATCCAAAAATATTAAATTATTTGAAAGGCTTATCCAACAATATTAAACCAAGGAGGTTAGATAATGCTAACTTTTCTTTTCTCGTTCTATAGCTGATGGACTTCTGACCTGGCTTCCATCTAGTGCTGATGGTTTCACAATGTGGCTTATAGCTACAGACTCTCAGAATCTCTCCTCCTCAATACAGCTTAATTTCTATCTATGTGACTGTCGCCTTAAGACTGAATGTGTCTATACCGAATTATCTAGAGTGAATACTTCATCTGTTTATGTAAGTATGAGAAGCTGACAAGCACACCCAATTCATCTTAGGCTAGTAGTAACTATAATTGTAGATTATGCTAGCTTTAGTGTACCTATAATCTTAATTTTATTAATGACAGAAGGCAAGTATTTGCTTTAGTCTCTCTTTACTAGAACTCCACAGTAGCACAGAAAACAACCAATCAGAAAAAAGTTAGGTACTATAAAACTCCCCTCCCCATGCATCATTTCCTCTTTCAAGCTGCAACAAAACAGAATAAAAGGCAGAAAACATAACGGGGAAGAAACGAAGTCCTAGATACAATGAATACAACAATGTCCACCATCCGAGAAGAACTGCCAAACCGGATAGCGTTGATGGACTGTAAACTGAAACGAGAGAAAAAAAACCCCAGAATCAAACAGGTTGGTTAGCCAATGAAATGTACTCTGAACAAACATGTAGATACCCCATGTAGCAAGCAAATTTACCGTAACCTGCATAGATCCCAACCCTACTATGAAAAACAGACATAAGAACAAGTGACAGGTAGCAGAGACGACAAGCAGAGTTGCATAAGTACCTGATGAACCCAAACTATTACAATTAAACAAGGGAGGGATAAGAATGGGTGGGAAATACTCGCCTCCTGTCATTAATAAAATTAAGATTATAGGTACACTAAAGCTAGCATAATCTATAATTTTATAACATGACAGGAGGCTTTGTATTTGCTGTTTTAACGCTCAGCCAACAAATCCAACGCTGGTACCCATTCCGTGAATATTAGAGCAATCCTAAATGGACCCCCAACTGCAAGAAGCGACAGTAGCTAGATCGATGAAGATGCCAGCTGGTGAAGCAACCCAAATTGGGAAAAACACCATCCGTTGATAGATCCATTGTACGTGTGGTTGCGACCTGTTCCCTAGCAGTCGGTCCATGAGCTGCCAAGTTGACCTATTAATCATTCTCCTGTAGGTGTAAAGTGCCGAAGGCCATATGCGGACAAGGGCCGTGAGAAGAGACTGCCACCATGTCTCGACTCTTGATGTGGAAGGTGATTCCTCCGATCATGCCAGGGTCACCAGGCGATGTGGCCTTGCAGTCAATCTCCAACCTCAGGCATGCGCCTAAGTCCACCGCCAATTCTCGAATAGAACCGAGTAGTGTCTAGTCGTTCCTTTATGACCTACCCAGTGAATTGTCTCCTCTGAAAATAAATTTATTATGCAGATAAGAGTGTGGTCAATACTAGCCGTATCCTAAGTGACTGCAGTCTTCCAACTGGACTGAGTAATCCACGGCTGCGGTATAGAAAGGACACCCAAAGGACGCCCAATCAAGGTCTCAAACTGAACTTGTGTGGTGAAACGGTGATCAACTATTCTGGGGATTGTGAATCCCAGAAAGTTCAAAAGGATGGGACCGTAAACCAGGGTTGAGATTTCCATCCAAATATATCATCCTCTAAGAGTGCTAAGCTGTCCGGATCCAATTGTGATTAGGACCTGTATAACGCAGAAGAGCCCTTACGTGTTGTAGTGAGAGTGAAATACTCCGATTACCGTTTGTACGATCCTGTTCCATGCCCGACCTGTCAATTTTCGTATGTGGGGTTCCTGGTCTACATGCCACCTACAAGATAGGATATAATAGAGCGAGACCCCTAGGTCCCTGTATCCTAGACTGTCCAGGGATGTATCTCCCAGGGTAGGTTTCCTTGATGATAGTTGAATAGGAGGGCTTGTGAGAACCCAAACCAAGATGGTTCCCGTGATGGATATAGAGTATAGAAGGAGGGCCCTCCATATCCGAAAACTGTTCTCAAGATATGTTTTCAGAGGTGTAGGAGCAGTCCTGCCATCTTTATATCAAGATTGTAACGACCAGGGAAGCCAAGTCCTGAGAATTCTGGTTTCTCCATGAGATCCATGCATACGGTGCACCTGCAGACCGTTTGTGTGAATTCCCTAGTCTTGTTACCCGAGCAAGGCAGTGCCCGTTTGCCCTATGCAGGCCTCTGGATCTCATGTCATCTTGACACGGGAAAATTGTCTGCACAGTTTGTTCGCAATGAATATCTTAAACAGAGTGCAATTGTCTGTTTGATATAGCGCAGATTATACCAAAACCTGTACTCTTGTAATAACTGAGGCTCCTCCATAGCCGTACTGTCTCCAGGAACATGTGTATATAAGCGGGGAACCTCCCCCACTAATACCTCTGTGGGTATTTCTCATGTGGAATACAAGATGGATCCAGTCAAACTATGTATACCTTGCCCGATCAGGCAGCCCTCTAGAACGAAATCGGTAGCGCAGTCGTTATATTTAAATTGGATGTGGGAGGGACGCCCCTCTATGCAGTCATAGTTGTCCTGTACAGGTACAAGCATGTGACAAACAAATAGACGGCACGTAGTGCATTAAGTGTATGAGAGAGTCGCACTCTCTAAAACGTGATCGAACTCTGTGTCCGCATACGGCTGGTGGTATGAGCGGGCCGCACCCGTTAGAAGCCAAACATAGAGTATACATCTGTGTCTGGTTCCTTCTATGAGAATGAGTCACTCAGAGCATGTCCTCTGTATCCAGCTCGGTATCAGGCTGAGGTTGAGGGAGGGCCATGCCCTGTAATAATGAATCAGTGTCTGGTTCGGTATAGGAGAGGGGTTCGCTCTCTACTCTTGAAAATAAAAATATCAGTCTCGGGCCGAGGTGATGGAGGGCCACACCCTCTGTAATCCAAACTAGAGTCCAGTAGAGACTCAGGGTGACCAAACATGGGGTTACACCCTTATTTAATATCAGCGTAGTATACAACCTTGGGCCGTGTCCCTCCTTAGTAAGAGAAAGGGGTGATGAGAAAGGTAAGTTTCGGAGACAATGATGGCAACTATCAACGGACCGCCCGGATCTCGTGTGCGCGTGCAGGGGATATAGTGTCCATAAAATCAAGCTCTGCTGAGCAATACCTTCCTTAAACGGCGAATTGGAATGCACATGTATATACAGATCTGTTTGAGATTTCTTATCTTTATTGTAGGTCATTATCATCATGCCGCCTGAAGGGTATTGTACTCATGGTCTCTTCAGGAGTAGGGCAAAACAATTGCCAACTCAATGAATCTCCCCAAGAACCTGATAAAATTGAATAGTATCATCATAGACAGATATATACCGTCAGTAAAACTCACAGTAATCTGTGATATATATATACACTGTCATAGATCTCACAGTTATCTGTGATATATATATATATATATATATATATATACACTGACATAGAACTCACAGTAATCTGTGATATATGTATACACTGTTGTAGAACTCACAGTAATCTGTGATATATGTATACACTGTCATAGAACTCACAGTAATCTGCGATATATATATACACATGAACACTCACAGTAATCTGTGATATATACACATGGAAACTCACAGTAATCTGTGATATATATATACATGGAAACTCACAGTAATCTGTGATATATATACATTGAAACTCACAGTAATCTGTGATATATATACACATGGAAACTCACAGTAATCTGTGATATATATACATTGAAACTCACAGTAATCTGTGATATATATACACATGGAAACTCACAGTAATCTGTGATATATATACATTGAAACTCACAGTAATCTGCGATATATATACACATGGAAACTCACAGTAATCTGTGATATATATATACATGGAAACTCACAGCAATCTGTGATATATATACACATGGAAACTCACAGTAAGATGTGATAAAAACACTGTAAAAGAAACTCACAGACATTTGATCCTAACTGACATATCTGAGCAAATTATGGAGAACATGATGAAATCAACCGCATCAACCCGGCAAAGCAACAATAGCCGAGACCCGACCACAGTGGGCGGAGGAGGGGCCGCGAGCAGGTGCACTCTCCTCTACCCGGTCGGCCGGCCGCAGCTCTCAGAAGAAGCCGGTTGTGGCGAGGTGGCCATGTGCACCAGCGGAGGAGGGGCCGCGTCCGACCGCGAGTACCCCGGATGCCGGTAAACTCACCAAGGAGCTCGGGGAATCAGAAGAGGCAGTCAGACGGCTAGTCTCCTGATACCCCGAGGGTAGCACATGAAGCCCGGTTAGCAAGGGCGGAATAAATAGCAGAAATGTGTTAGAGAGTGATAGGTATCTGATAGGTATCCCCAGAAAAAAAAAAACTAAAACCAACACAATGTAAAGGAAAAAAAAACAGGGGAAGCAAAGAAAGAAAAGAGTCAAAAAGGCACATAAATCTCACAACTAAGCATAATTAATAAAAATCATAAATAAATCATACTAAATCCCAAAGCCACCCACTAGAAGCAGGAGGCAGTGGTACTCTGACCTGTACTGACTGCGGAGCAGCAAAGAAAGAGGAAATGATGCATGAGTAGGGGAGTTTTATAGTACCTAACTTTTTTCTGATTGGTTGTTTTCTGTGCTGCTGTGGAGTTCTAGTAAAGAGAGACTAAAGCAAATACAAAGCCTCCTGTCATGTTATATAATTCAACTCTAATTTTGACATTATCACCAAATGCACATTTTTTTTTAAACATACCAGTTGTTCATTAAATGTGTAGATACTTGTTTTTAGAGTGGATCTTCTTATATCCGTGATATTTTATGTTAGCAGACATGCTACATGAGTAACATTGTAGATGGCCCTTCAAAGGATTCCCCTAAGTCCACTCAACAGTCATACATATTTAAAGGGAACATACAGCCCTGAAAATAACAAACATTATTTACCTTGTAGCTTTATTAGCTCTGCCCATCCAACATTCCTCAGTAAAATTAAGTTAAATAACGTTTACTCTGTTGGAGCTTCCTTCAGTGATATCCACATCAAAGCTGACATTGCCTGTAATCTCCTCCAACCAAGACATGTGTGGCCAAACAGCATGCTCCTCCAATCAAATGCAGTATCAGTAAAATTTGATTTCAGGCCATGTGCACCAGCGGATCCATCCGCCGCGTCCGACCGAATCAAATGTTACAGCTTACAGCATTTACAGCTTACAAATGTTACAGCTTACAGCAAAGACAGTCACAGGTTTATAGCACTGTAGCTTTCCTATGTTGAAAAATCTGAAGCTGGAGGACCTCATGAAGAGAGTGAGGACGTTCAGCGTCAGATACCGAAGATGCCAAAGGTCCGTTTCAATTCAGGAAGCCATCTAGTGGCTGTCTGATATACAGCCACTGAGCGCATACTTAGAGCTTCTCTGGAACAGCAATGTTTTACATTGCAGCATTAAGTGCAAAAAGGGACAAAGCACCCAGACCACTTTAATGAGCTGAAGTGGTCTGGGTGCCTACCGTGTCCCTTTAACCTTGCAATGTACAAATTGTAGTTTCTACAAAACTGACAGAAACACTGCACCCAGACTAATTAATTGAGCTAAAGTAGTCTAATTTGTAATATGTTTATGCAGGTTGCAGGTTGTTCTTGTGCAAACAATTACACAGACACTTCTTGTAGAACTGCTCCAAATCCCTGTACTGGAGGATGCTTCCCTGGAGTGCAATGTAACAACATAACTGGCTGTGGATCCTGCCCTGCAGGACTGGACGGTGATGGCTTGCACTGTGAAGGTAAATAAGACAAAAACACTGATACTTGTTAACAAGAATAGCACTATATATTCTGCAATGAGGATACGTTAGCTGTTTTCTAATTTTTGACTGCTAGAGTATCATATGCAACATCTATGGGATTTTTGTGCCAAAAGATATACAAAACTGATTGTTTTTGCAGAAAAATATAAAACTTGTAAAATAAGATGTGAAGTGCCTCTATCACTGTATATACCATCTAGGCACCCTAATGCAATAAGAATGCATTGTATTACACACATCATTAGAAAGCAAGATCATAGGAATTAAGAAACATATTTTGTGATTGGAAAATGTGTATTTAAAACATGGTAAACAAATGAGGCACTTTGATGAAAAATATTTGGTGCTTTGGTAACTTTAAAGGAAAAGTAATTTTTTTAAATATTTAATTCAAAGAAAGATTTCATTAATTACATACTGTATGCGTATTATTTTTTAATTTATATGTAAATTAATAACTTCTTGTAGTGCATTTCCTAACTTAACTTGCTCTGTGGGAGCTGCCATTTAAGGGCTATTTGGTCAGAAACATGGCTTATCTGACCAAAGACCACACAGGTGATCAAATCTTAACATTATGACATTAATTCTTGATTACCTGTGTGGTCTTTGGTCAGATAAAATTCAGTTTCAGACCATACTAAATCAAATACAAAATATGAGAGTAAATGCATATGTTTCTAAAACATCCATGAATGATTGATTAGATAAGCATTTCACAATCTTATAAAATATAATACTATACTCCAAGCACTATAATTGCTACAGCCTGTTGTAACTATGGTGCCAAGAATGCTTTTGTGCCATCTCAGTGTAATTTGTCCAACATTTTTAATGGTTTGAAAACTTACCAGGTGCCTACTGAGTGCATAGCCCTACATCTGGATTCTTGTAAGAGAATATGGTTAGGTCCACTGAACTAAGCAAGGTTATGCAGGGACATGCTCATTGGCTAGGAGCTTCAGCTGAGAGCTCTCAGCCAATGAACGCAGACATTTATAGGCCATACTTAGTTCAGTGAAGTCGTTAGGCTGTAGTGGTTATGGTGTTTCATTGACTGTTGGTCCTAGCCAAAAGGTAAATTCAGCAATTAGTGTGATCTGCTTAGTTGCAACACTCACAGTTTCTTTCACGGGATTCTAAATATATTGCTGACTTATATGTTCTTTGCTTTAACAGATATAGATGAATGCCTTCAAAATAACACTTGTTCTCCGAATGCTGATTGTACAAACACATATAAAAGCTATAGCTGTGTCTGCAAACATGGGTTTACTGGTAAGTAAGATATGGTTATTAATTTAAGAAAATACATTCATTCACACCAATACACATCCACAAACACTTTGTTCGGAATACAGTGATGTAAAAAGAGAAGTTTAAGCATTAACAATATAATTCAAAACTAATTAGAAACATGTATTTCATGAATACAATGTACTACATGCTGTTTTGTCTTTACTGCTGCGTATCTCTCTGTTAAACTCTTTTTTTTATTTTAGTTCACTTTGCCTGTGTGTGTTTTTGAATCTCTTTCTTTCTCTTGCCCTCTCTTTCCTCTTTGTGTTTATCTCTTTTTCTATATATTTCTGGGTGCCAAGGTCATTTAGCTTTTTCTAGAAAGCCTCTTTCTGGCCTGGAGCTCTGGCTCTAAGTGGGTCCTCCTCGGGCCGGCAAGGAGATTAAAAGATCTCTCTGCACGGCCCTGTTCTCCCACCATTCGGAGAGCATTGTGGTATGTACGACTTTAAGTGTATCCTTACAGCGAGGACCCTCTTTATGAATCATGAAGGCACTCTTAGATGATCTGTACCCAATATTGGGGTAGATCAGATAGCTTATCCACCAGACCAGACAAGGGATCGAGCTCACACTCCACTGGATCATCACAGAAGATAAGCAGGAGATGGAGAGAGCATACACACACAACAAACAAACACTAAGACTCCCTTACACACATACACTTTAGCCACCACACATACAACTCTCAATCAGCACAAACAGACACACTCAACTCCCCACCATACAACTCTCACCCTCCTCTCACAAACTGTCACAAACAACACTCAGCCACCACCTACTCACATTGCTCATAGACACAGAGCCCAGGGCTCCGGGGAGCATCCTGCCTAGGGCCTTGGGCAACATTAAAAATGCTCCACACTTTGTATTGTGTGTTCATCTCTCTCCTGTTTAGCATAAGGTGTAACTTAACAGTTTGTAAAGTGATATTGCTAAAGTCTGCCACTTGGTGGCTCTAAAGTCATTGAGTAGCAAAATATACTTTTTGTCCCAAACTTACTTTTGTGTTGTTCACTTAACTGATATTTAAGGATAATTCAATTTTAATTTCTTTACAATATAGTTCACTAGGAGAAAAAAATCTCCAATTCAGCTTTTTTCTGGCTTGCCCTATTTTATCCTAATATTCACAATTTAAGCTGTGTTCATATGTTAATGGAGACCCAACATTCCAATAAGAGAAGAGAGTGATTCATATAATAAGTAATTTAGTGCTACACTGTTTGCATTCACAGTATAGGGACAGTATGAATGATAATCATAATGATTAAATGGGATCGGATTTGAAAGTGGAACTTTGATTTCTGATTATATAAAGGAAACATAAAAAAATATTTACTAAAGTGTGAAATTAAAGTTAATTTCAAATTGTATTCCATGACTATATATTGTTGTGTTAAAAATCATCACAGACAAGATACCAAAAATATTCCTATTTACTTGTTTATTACAGCTTAATTAAATAAGTTGCAACTTTCATTACCACCCAATAGCTTTAGATTGCCTTGTTTAAAAACAGTTTGTGTTCTTAACTTCACAAAACAAACAAACAAACAAACAAACAAAAAATAAGAGACAGACAATTTTTAGATTGTTTGTCTTTATAAGTTCAGGTGGGCAAACCATTTTTAAACACGTGGCAAAACCACATTTTTGTTGTTTTCTGATTTTTTAATAGAGTATATTGAAACATTTGTAAAATGTTTAATCTCTTTTGTATGTAAAATTAACAGTTTTTATTTATAACGATTTAGCCTAATAAACCGTATACATTTTAAAGCATTGTATCATCTCCAAATTAAATGTTTTAAAATCTATCTAATCTATTTAATCTAATAAAAAACTGTGTTTAATTAGGTAATGGGAGTTACTGTGTGGATATCAATGAGTGTCTAAGCAGTCCATGCTCAGTTAATGCAACGTGCAATAATACTGAAGGAAACTTCACATGTGCCTGTCAGAGTGGGTTCAAAGGTAACTATACCTATATTAAAATGTTACAAACATGTTGCTTTTCTTGTTATTAAAATTATTTATTTTACAATCTTTTTAAGAGGTTTAATGATAACTGTTGCATTCCTCTGTAATTACTATCTCTGGAAGGTTAGAAACGTTTTGACACCTAAAACTCTCTAGCTCTCTCCCTGACATGTTGACAGACAACACTAGGATTGTTGAATGTGTATGGCAGCAATATTGTACCATAAATACAGTTCATGATAACACATGTTTATGAAAAGCCATTGTTTATAAAGTACTACATGTTTATAAAGTGTTCTGTTTAAATAAAGAGCATTGTTCTTGGCCTACTCAATTATATCAAAAGTTATCAATATCATGAAGCCACCAACAATTCCCTGTCTACACTTACAGAATATCACAGAGATACTCAGCCCTTTTTTTATTGGTAAACTAAATATATGCTTTTCAGCGATATAGGAGGTTGGAATGTTTAAGACCATAATTAATATTTTGTGGAGCATTTATTATTTTATTTTTTACTCCTTGTCACTTGTTCTTGAGTATTTTTAACTATGCAAATCGTGACTAATAGTTACACATTTTGTGTTTAATTAGATAACGGAACACACTGTGTTGATATCAATGAGTGTTTGACCAGTCGTCCATGTTCAGCTAATGCCACATGCACTAATTCTGAAGGAAGCTATAGCTGCAACTGTAATAATGGATTCACAGGTAAGTGATTACATGACAATTTTTCGGTTTCTAATATTAAAATTAATCATTTTCCTTTTGAAGGGACACTAAAAAAATAATAAAGAAAAGTAAAAAAAAAAAACTAAATTTTTTTTTATTTATTTCTTTTCTACAACCTGAGGTTACTGAAATGCTTAAACTCTGCTGGGTATGCTTTATGCACATAAAATGGTGTTAAAGATTGTTATGTATTTTGATGTGAGATTTAATTTACTTGAAGATGGGCAGTATCTGACTTTCTGGGAGAAATTAGCAAATGGGAAGAGACACGGAGAAGGCCCTGTGTTGTGGGAAACAATGTGTTTGAAGAAGAAGGAGATATCTAATAAAAGAAGGTTATTTAGAGGTGGACCTTAATAAAAAAGAATGCAAAACAAATACTTGCCATTTTTCATAGTTATTTTGAAGTGATTTTCTGTCTATGTATTACGTTTTTCTCATGTTATAACTACAATTGTTATAATAAAAAAATAACTGTTATACTTATTTAATTAGGAAATGGAACTTACTGTGCTGATATTGATGAATGTCTCAAAAGTCCATGCTCATCGAATGGAAATTGTATTAACACACAAGGGAGTTACACGTGCACCTGCAAGGATGGATTTATAGGTAAAAACAATGTCTTGGAAATAATTTTGGGAACAGAAGTATTAGAAATGTTTTCTATCAATGGCATTGTTCTCACCCTGAAAATGGGGCTTAAAATTGTGATTATTGTCTTTTCAAATATAATAGTGAAAAATGAAACACCCCTCACAAAAAAAAAACCAGATATGAAGTCAAGAAGAACAATGACATGAGAGCAGAAAGTGGTAGGAGTTAAAGGGACACTACAGGTACTACAGCCATTTCATTTTATTAAAATGGTTATGGTACCTGGATCGTTAGATTATTTTCAAGGAGTCTAACTCTAAATAAGGGCCCTTGGTCACATACAGCCCAGTTCACACAACAGGTGTGGCTAAGGAAGCTATTACACACTTCTTTCTCACTATAACAAAAAATAATTCTAGCAATAAGCACTGTGATAGGCTGAAAGCAGTTAACTGACTCTCTCAGCTAATCAAAGACATTTACTGTTGCTCAGGCTAATGCATCCTCATTATCACAAACAATACAGAGGGAATGGTCTGCTGGGGACTCATCTTTATCATCAAAAAATGTAAAACTGTTTAACAATGAAGGGAAGATGGCACCAGGGAACTCCAGGCATTATAATCACTTCAATAAGAGAAAGCAGATGCAGTGCCTGCAGTGTCTCTTTACAAGAGAGCAGAGAAGTTAACAGCAATGGTCTAGTCACGAATTGATCCTAGGGAAGAAATACTGGCATCATAAATGTTTTCCTTTTGCAGGGAATGGAACAGTTTGTACTTGTGGTGAATGTGAAGCAAATTACTGCAGCAATGGTGGAACATGCACTAGGGTGGGAACAACGTGCACCCAGAAATGTACATGTCTTCCGGCATTTACTGATGATCGATGCATAATTGCTGGCAACAATTTCCCAGCGCAGCTCAAAGCTAGTAAGTTACAATATAATTTATTGTAAAATTTTGATAAGTCTGAGATGGGAGATAATTTTTACATTGTGAGTCCTACCCAACCTCTCACCTGCAGGCTTTTATGCATGACAGTCAGTGAATATGTGTAAATGTATGTATTTGTATTCTTTCAACATACACACATAAATGCACATTTGTTCTAAAAATTAAATTAAATTGTTAGAGTGGCCCAGCAAAATATGCTTTATCCATTGTTAGAGTAAGGTTTAGTTTAGTTTTGACTCCTATTTGTATTCACTATAGTGAGGATTGTAGGGAAATTAACGTGAATTTCAAATGTAAGGCTAAAATAAATGACTGTAAAAAATCTCCAAATTACCTAAGATTCCAGTTTGGCTATTTTGGCCTAACATTTGAAAGTCACGCTTCTCACTTTAGTGCCTAACCCTGACTATATTTATCTGTTTTAATGGATTCCAATTTTTTTACCTGCAGGCACAAAAATGAGAACTGTATATTTAACAATCAGAAATACTGGAGCTAATTTCACTGACGTGGAAGCATATAGCAAGGTGTGTACTTTTGGTTTTTCTACTCAAATTGTATTTGTTTTTACCATTCATATACATGAAACCAGACGTGTTCCTATTAGTAATTGTATATTTTCAGTTTTTTAGTTATACGCTATTACTTGTTTTTGCCCCCATTTTTCATGAGCTGAACTCAAAGATCTAAGACTTTTTCTATGCACACAAAAGGCCTATTTCTCTGAAATTTTTCTCACAAATCTGTCTAAATCTGTGTTAGTGAGCACTTCTCCTTTGTCAAGATAATCCATCCACCTCACAGATGTGGCTTATCAATATGCTGATTATTGCAAACGTGTGGCTTAGGCTGGCCACACTGAAAGGCCACTCTAAATTGTGCAGTTTTATCACACAGCACAATGCCACAGATGTTGCAAGTTTTGAGCGAGTGTGTCATTGGCATGCTGACTGCAGGAATGTCCAGCAGAGCTGTTGCCCGTAAATTGAATGTTAATTTCTTAGAATTTGTCAGTACACCCAACTGGCCTCACAACCGCAGACCACGTGTAACCACACCAGCCTAGGACCTCCACATCCAGCATCTTCACCTCCAAGATCGTCTAAGACCAGCCACTCGGACAGCTTCGGTTTGCATAACCAAAGAATTTCTACACAAACTGTCATACACTGTCTCAGCTCATCTGCAAGCCTGGCGTCCTCATCGGGATCTCGACCTGACTGCAGTTCATCGTTGTAATTGACTTGAGTGGGCAATTGCTCACATTCGATGGCATCTGGCACTTTGGAGAGGTGTTCTCTTAATGGATGAATCTCGGTTTGCACTGTACATGGCAGACAGCGAGTATGGCATTGTGAGGGTGAGTGGTTTGCTGATGTCAATGTTGTGGATCAAGTGGCCCATGGTGGCGGTGAGGTTGAGGTATGGGCAGGCATATGTTATGGACAACAAACACAGGTGCATTTTATTGATGAGATCCTGAGGCCTATTGTTGTGCCATTCTTCCACGACTGTCATCTCATGTTGCAGCATGATAATGCTCTGCCCCATGTTGCAAGGATCTGTACACAATTCCTGGAAGTTGAAAACATCCAGTCTAACAGTTCTTGCATGGACAGCATACTCACTGGACATGTCATCCATTGAACATGTTTGCATGTTTGGGATGCACTGGATCAGTGTATATGACAGCAACTTCGCACAGCCATTGAAGAGGAGTAGACCAACATTCCACAGGTCACCAACCTGATCACCAACCTGATCAACTCTATGCGACGGAGATGTGTTGCACTGCGTGAGGCAAATGGTGTTCACACTAGATACTGACTGGTTTTCGGACTCCCCCCGGACACCCCGAATACAGTAAAACTGCACATTTTAGAGTGGCCTTTCATTGTGGCCAGCCTAAGGCACACCTTTGCAATAATCATGCTGTCTAATCAGCATCTTGATATGCTACACCTGTGAGGTGGATGGATTTTCTCGGCAAAGGAGAACTGCTCACTAAAACAGATTTAGACAGATTTGTGAACAATATTTGAGAGAAATAGGCCTTTTGCGTACATAGAAAAAGTCTTAGATGATTGAGTCCAGCTCATGAAAAATGGGGGCAAAAACTCATTTTGTTCAGTGTAGTTTAGAAAATGATTGACCTCATATATATTGTCCTGCCTACCATTGCAAAAAGTATGAAAGTAGCTCATTGTTTTAATGATAGCCATTGTAGTTTCCTGATTTTTGTAGATAGCATCATAAATAAATATTGCTACTGTATGCTATAGTGCTGGTTATGTGAACAACAGATAATGTTGATAAGGATAAGGAGTTGCTGTAGTTTATAGTGAAGCCACTAGTGATACATTTATCCTGACATTTGTGTCTAGAAGATTAGGTGTCCTGCATAGCAAAAAATGTGTTTTGAATTTTAGGGGTTACATTTGGAGAGTCGTCATGATATTTTACTACATGAGTTATGGTTTCAGTGGCAACTGGTGATTTAAAATGGTGGGGTGCCAGACTCCTCCCCCAGAATTTTACTCCATTATACAGTACATAGATAATCATACAATACAGAACTGAAACCTATTACAGAATTAAAGATACACTAAGTTTTTTCCTTATTATTATTATTATTATTAACATTTATATAGCGCCAACAGATTCCATAGTGCTTTACAATATTATGAGAGGGGGGATTTAACTATCAATATAGGATGATTACAAGAAAACTTACAGGAATGATATAAAACACATTAGGACAGGACATAGCAATCAAATAAGGTGGGATTAAAGCAAAACTGGAGGAGAGAGTAAAGTACTGCCCTTTAGGAGAGAGCAGGAGACAGGTATGTGAGGTAGAGGTTAATCTGGGAGGCCATAAACTTTCCTAAAGAGATGGGTTTTAAGGCACTTCTTAAACGATTGAAGACTAGGGGAGAGTCTGATGGTGGTAGTCAGGGAGCCGCCCTGAGAAGTCCTGCAAGCGTAATTTGGCCGTACAGGTGCGAGCAGCTCACAGGAGAAGGTCACGGGCAGAGCGGAGAGACAGAGAAGAGTTTGAAGAAGGCGAGCATGATCAACGGTGTCAAAGGCCGCAAAGAGGTCAAGAAGAATGAATATGGAGTAGTGGCCTTTGGATTTAGCTGCGATTAGGTCATTAGTAACTTTGATAAGAGCGGTCTCAGTAGAGAGGACAGGGTGGAAGGCAGATTGAAGAGGGTCAAGGAGAGAGGTGGAATTGAGGAAGTGAAAAATATGGGTAAAGACAAGTCTTTCTAGATGATTTGAGGAAAAAGGGAGCAGGGATATGGGACGATAGCTAGTGGGGGAGGACGGGTCAAGAGATGTTTTTTTCAGGATAGGTACTACAGTGGCATGTTTAAAGTCAGCAGGGACAATGTCAGAAGAGAGAAATAAGTTGAAGATGTGTGTCAAGGAAGGCACAAGACAAGTGGAGAAAGATCTGATAAGGTGAGATGGGACAGGATCGAGCGGGCAAGTGGTGAGGCAAGAGGAAAGGAGAAGTGCAGCCACCTCATGTTCAGTAGCCAGGGAGAAAGTCTGAAGGGTAGGAAAGGCATGATCTATGTGTGGTTGAGAAAGTGAATGGCAAAGTGGGGAGAATTCTATCCTTAGCTGTTCAATCTTGTCAGTAAAGTAGCATGCAAAGCTATCGTCTATAAGGGTAGTTTGGGGGGTGGCCACAGCAGAGCGAAGAATAGAGTTAAAGGTGTCAAAGATATGCCTGGGATTGTGGGAGCATGAACTAATGAGAGAGGAAAAGTATGACTGTTTGGCGAGGGCAAGGGCTGCGCTGTATGAATACAATATGAATCTATAATGGAGAAAGTCTGACTGGGTGTGAAACTTCCTCCAGGAGCGTTCAGCACAACAGGAGCAGTTTTGCAGGTAGTGTGTTGATTTAGTATGCCACGGTTGGGGGCATGTCCTCCTCTAGGTGCATTTTAGGAGCGGGGCTTCAGCGTTCAAGGCAGAGGTGAGGTTATATGTGGAAATTACCAGTGAGGGACAGTAGAGAGAAGGAATGGATAGCAATTGTGAATCAATATCAGCTAACAGCTGATTTGGGAGGAGTGGGAAAAGATAGGCTGGAAAGGTATATGTAGAGTGCATAGGATGAATAGAGAGGGGAGTTTTGTCTTATCATCCTCTGTAGCTGAACTGCAATATTAAAATCAATATTCCCGCTGGTAGACTGTAAAACATCAAAGAGAAGCTCAGTACAGCAACGTAATCCCAATTTTACCAATAACCCAACGATACACAGCTGGCTGATTTTTATTCTGCCACAGCTGGCTTTTATGCAACCCCGCATGCAAGGGGTTTCTTAATTTACATTCCAGGGGTTTTCCACTGGTGAACCTTGTTGGAGACAGGGGACAAAGTAACATTTCCCAGACTCCTCCTCTGTACGATCATTGAGTAAGGACAATTATTTAATTATATTATCTCCCAGATACAGAAAATATGCAATATTTCAAACCCTCAAACCACACATTGATATTATTCAGAACTCCAGGAAAGAATAGCAGGGATCTGAGAGCCCACTCTGTTGAAATTTCACTTGGATCCGTTTGGTAGATTAGGAAAGCCATTCAAGTGAAGTTTAGACCGGTCAACCACAAGGTGAAACCCCAAAATAGTTCCAGATGGTTTTAGGCTTTGACCAGTCTTCTTTCTGGAGTATTCACCATTAAAATAGTGAAGGGAACTGTTCATGTAAAAGGGGGTCATGTGCCCTGTGTTCTGTAGTTTATTTCATACGAATGCCGCTTTTTATAAGTGAAGGGAAACGAACACACGAAGGGATGGTAGTTCAGTGGTGTTTGCGCTATCGATTGTTCAATTATAGTTCCACACACTCGACGACCAAGCACCGCTGTCTGTTCGTGGACAAAGATGGTGCCGCCAAGTGTTCAGTCATACGAATGACACCCACCCATCCGAACACTTAGAACCTTGCAGTTTCTAAGTGTGAATACCGTCAATTGGAGGCACACAACTCCCCTGGGTGGGCTCACTGTTCGGTGGATTGTTCGACAGACGAACAATATATCTTTAGTGTGTTCAGGAACCACAAATTGCTGAACCAACTCTTGAATACGAATAGGTGGCTGGTTCTGCCAAATCCTCCACTCCAGTAAAATATTCTTAGTGTTTCTAGCTACTGTAAATAATTTATTGAAGGCAATGGGTGAATTTGATTGGCTGAGAATATCAGCTGACTGCTTTCGGTCTTTCACAGCACCTATGCAGGTACAAACTGGTAAGTTTAGAATGTAGTGTGTAATCTCTGCCCTAGTCATACCTACAGTAGGGGCCAGGCTGTGGGTGGCCGGGTACCCTTATTTAGTGTTAAAATTCTTGGAAATGTTTTAACACTGTGTCAGGAGACTCCAGGCATTTTAACCAGTTCAATGAGAAAGTTAGTCTCTACGGTGTCCCTTTAATAAGAGCTATATTCTGTATCATCTCTGGCATTATTCAGGAATGTAAATTGACCAAGGGTGAAGCAATGGAATTGATCTATGAATTGGAAAACAGAAGAATTTTTGTAATGTTGTTGTATTATATTGTGGGTAGGATGTCCTTTGTGTGGGTAAAGCATCAAGAGGTGAGTTTTACGTGAGTGGGGCTTGGGTGTTTTTGGACACAGGGAGGACACATTTTGACCCAACCCTACTGTGTAAGAATACAAATCATACATTTGAGATATTTCAATGGTGCTGTTCCTTCAATATTGACAATGTTTTAATTTGTTTTAATTTGTTTTAATTTTACACCAATATTTATATAAAGCACATTTACCTGGTTTAATATACTAAGCCATTTTAATAGTTTACTGCTGGTACTTATAGTATGATATTAGTACATTATATAGGGATTCAATATAATAATCTACAGATGGTATTATATGAAGGCTTTACATACATTTAAATGCATGTGTCATTAATAGATATTTAACCATTTGTATTTCCTTTTTGTAGGTTAATGAAGTAATGAGCTTCATACCTCAATATAAAAATGTTACTGGTTTCCTATCCCCGTGGTAAGTAAACTCTGATAAACACATAAATAATATTACCATAAAACATAAAATCCATTTCCTGAGTTATGTGGTATCCTATTGTCATTGATTTGGACTGCCCGGTACTAGCTTAGAATCTCTTTGACATTTTTTTTTCTCTATCTAGGAACCAGTCTGACTTTTTTATTTCCAACGTCACGGCTCAATTTATGTATGCTGCGAACTTAACAATTATACAGTTTCTGAATAATGACCTAGTATCAACACTTAGGAATCGGCTGGGTATAACAAAACGTGCAACATCAAACTTGACAGTGATAAGTGTTGAAAATGGTTTCAAATGTAAGTTTGAAAATTGAATACAAATGAATGTTCCACAACATAAAATCAGTATTTCAGAAATGAGTTACGTAGGCTGCAATAATCAAGAGCATTTCTGCATTTACGAGGTTTCCTGAAGATATGACAGCCATCTACTTGCTTAAAAAAACACAACAGTGCATATTCTCTGTATTTGCAATATAGACACAAAATAATTACTTTTGCACATGTCAATTTAAGTGGTCAGACTCTGGTAAGCTGTCTCAAACACAAAGAAGTAAATTAATGAGACTCCAACTAATATATATTCATTTTTTGTGTGTGATTTTTACTACATTATAGCAGGTCTCCCAACTGTCCTGATTTTGGCATAACAGTCTGGACTTTCATGTCCTATCTCACCATCCTGACTTCGTTCCATAGTGTCTTTCTGTTGGGTACACCAGGGAACTGTCCCCAAAAAGCAAAGTGTGAGCGCATCATTACACACGCTTTTGCTATGTTTAGGAGTATTATTATTATTATAATTATTATGATATTTATAGAGCGTCGTCAAATTCCGCAGCGCTTTACAATGGGTGGACGAACAGACATGTAGTTGTAACAAGACAAGTTGGACACACAGGAACAGAGGGGTTGAAGGCCCTGCTCAATGAGCTTACATGCTAGAGGGAGTGGGGTAGCTATCAACAGTTTAAATTATACGCTTTTATGAAGAAGTAGGTTTTTAACGTTTTTTTGAAGGAGTGGAGACTGGGTGAGCATCTAATGGAGGAGTTCAAAAAATCTTGAAGGCGAGCATCAGGGATGGGAGTACGGACAGAAGATAGACGTAAGTCTTCAGCAGATCGTAAGGGCCTAGACGGGACATACTTTTGTATAAGGGAGGATAGATAGGTGGGAGCAGCATTATGCAGAGATTTGAAAGCAAGAACCAGAATTTTAAATTGAGCTCTATATTTCATAGGAAGCCAATGTAGGGACTGATAGAAGGGTGAGGCATGGGAGGTGCGGGCGGACAGAAAGATGAGCCTCGCCACCGCATTCATTATGGACTGTAACGGCACAAGTTGGGAGCACGTAAGACCACTGAGAAGCGGATTACAGTAGTCAAGGCGAGAAAGGACAGTGGAATGGACCAACACCTTAGTCGCATCTGGCGTTAAGTAGGGGCGGATGCGTGCAATGTTTTTGAAATTGCACCAGTGTTCCCTGCAGGGTATGCCCTCAGTGGACTTATCTTACATGATTGGCAGATGTAGTTGGGAGGTATGTAATGTCATTGACACATTTGTGTCATGTGTTGATCTATTCCACTTCCTATTCATTTGGAGTTTCTATGCATCTTTGAGGTTGCTGTTTACATAGTAACATTCTCTTTGTTCTTGCATCATTCCTCTCTACAACTCCAGATATGTTTTTGGGGTTGTATTTTTTTCTTGGAAGATACACAATATTTGTACTTCTAAACTGATGAAACATCACTTCCCAGAATTTAAAAAAAATTTGGTTTACTTATCCTTTATATTTAATGTGTTTGTGTTTATGAGAAGAAAATATAGACATACAAACATTGTATTTAGCTCTATCCTAGAAATGAACACTTGCATTTTGGCTCTCCATCAATCATCGTTATATACTCTGCCCTTTGCACTTTGCAGTCAGCCTACTTATACCCTTTGTGTTATTTTACCCCACTCCCTCTAGCATGTAAGCTCATTGAGCAGGGCCCTCAACCCCTCTGTTCCTGTGCGTCAAACTTGTCTGGTTACAACTACATGTTTGTTAGTCCATCCATTGTACAGCGCTATGGAATTTGCTGGCACTATATAAATAATAAAATAATAATAATAATAATAATAATAATAATAATAATAATCGAGAGTATAAAGAAGGGAGAAGAAACAGAAACAATGTTTTTGTTTCTTCTCTTCCACTGTATTGTGCACCCTGGCATGCATTTTACTAAAAAAAAGAGCATACATAAAAAGACAGGGAACACAATTATAGATGAGTTTCAGTATAATTTCCAGAGAAGTGGTGGTTCCCCTTTAATGTGGAACCATCTGCCCCGTGCACTGTGCTGATTAGCCATAAACACTGGTATCTGTTCATTCTAAATTGTCATTACTGCAGAATGTTAGGAACTGATCTGGTTTATTAGTTCCAGTATTGTATGCAATACTGTATCAGGCTATGAATGAGTAGAAAGAGCTGCATTCTAATATTTCAGATCTTACATAAGTGAGCATTTAGAATGCAAACCACATTTGACCATGAGACTTGGTGCAAAATGTTAGGGTGATAAATGCATGAGACTTATGGGATAGGAAACACACATGTCAACTAACACAGTATTTTTCATTCCTCAGTAAGCGAAAGTGAACTCAAGAACTCTCTGTCCTGTGAGCTAAGTGGATATGGTGGATATACTCTGGATGCTGAAAACTTTCAATGTGTATCAGTGTGCAATTCCTACTGTAAGAATAATGCCAAATGTGAGCAAATTCTCAATGAAACCCGCTGCAGGTGAGTGCCTATCCTGTTAGATTAATACCATACCATACCAAAGACAAAACCAAAAACATAATTCAAAGATAAAATGCAACCCAAAAATATTTTATCCATTTTTCCATTTCTCTTCTTCATTTGCAATGTATGCCTTGGCTGTACCTTAACTAAAGGTGATTTTGATGTAATTTGTTAAATCTGCAATATAAGTTTAAAATAAAAAGGAGCATCACATGAAAAGGCTAACAAGTAGGGGACAAGCATCACTTCCCGACAATTGTCCTATTCAAAAGCATTAGCTCTTTATCTCTGCAAACTGATAAAAGCAGGTTAATATGATGTTTTCCCATATTAATAGAAACATAGAATGTGACGGCAGATAAGAACCATTCAGCCCATCTAGTCTGCCCAATTTTCTAAATACTTTCATTAGTCCCTAGCCTTATCTTATAGTCAGGATAGCCTTATGCCTATCCCACGCATGCTTAAACTCCTTTACTGTGTTAACCTCTACCACTTCAGCTGGAAGGCTATTCAATGCATCCACTACCCTCTCGGTAAAGTACTACTTCCTGATATTGTTTTTAAACCTTTGCCCCTCTAATTTAAGACTATGTCCTCTTAGTGTGGTAGTTTTTCTTCATTTAAATATGGTCTCTTCCTTTACTGTGTTGATTCCCTTTATGTATTTAAATGTTTCTATCATATCCCCCCGTCTCGTCTTTCCTCCAAGCTATACATGTTAAAGGACCACTCTAGGCACCCAGACCACTTCAGCTTAATGAAGTGGTCTGGGTGCCAGGTTCCTCTAGGATTAACCCTTTCTTCTATAAACATAGCAGTTTCAGAGAACCTGCTATGTTTATAATAGGGTTAATCCAGTCTCTAAAGCCTCTAGTGGCTGTCTCATTGACAGCCGCTAGAGGCGTTTGCGTGCTTCTCACTGTGAAAATCACAGTGAGAAGACGCAAGCGTCCATAGGAAAGCATTATGAATGCTTTCCTATGAGACTGGCTGAATGCGCGCGCAGCTTCTGCCGCGCATGCACATTCAGCCGAAGAGGAAGAGAGGAGGAGGAGAGCTCCCCGCCTGGCGCTGGAAAAAAGGTAAGATTTAACCCTTTCCTCTCCATCCAGCCCGGGAGGAGGGGGTCCCTGAGGGTGGGGGCACCCTCAGGAAACTATAGTGCCAGGAAAATGAGTATGTTTTCCTGGCACTATAGTGGTCCTTTAAGATCCTTTAACTTTTCCTGGTTAGTTTTATCCTGCAGTCCATGAACCAGTTTAGTAGCTCTTCTCTGAACTCTCTCTAAAGTATCAATATCCTTCTGAAGATACGGTCTCCAGTACTGCATACAATACTTCAAGTGAGGTCTCACCGGTGTTCTGTATAATGGCATGAGCACTTCCCTCTTTCTACTGCCTATACAACCAAGCATTCTGCTAGCATTTCCTGCTGCTCTATTACATTGTCTGCTTACCCTTAAGTCATCAGAAATAATCACCCCTAAATCCCTTTCCTCATATGTTGAGGTTAAGACACTATCAAATATTCTTTACTCTGCCCTTGGGTTTTTACGTCCAAGATGCATTATCTTGCACTTATCCACATTAAATGTCAGTTGCCACAACTCTGACCATTTTTCTAGTTTACCTACATCATTTGCCATTTGGCTTAGCCCTCCTGGAACATCAACTCTGCTACATATATTATGTGAATATTCTTTCTTATGCTTTTCACACTTATTTCAGGGGGGACACTAATCTAACCAATTAGTGTCCTATCCCTCGGAATACTGGAAAAGTGCATTGGACATGCTGGACATATTTACAAATGTGCAGTTGCATCTTGCCACATCCAGATGGGGGAGAAGAGATGGAATCTGATCAGTGTGATTCAGGCAGAGCAGGCTACAGTATTGGGTCTCTCTCTCTTGCTGCTGCAATATGATACCCCGTTTCTGTCATTAGTGGACTGGTCTGAAACTGAGATGGGTGGGTAAAAGGATGAGGATGCTAAATGAACTCCCCTAGCTGAGAGGTGTCCTTGTAAACATTTAGTTTATACGTTTATAAAAATTTATTACATACTTTTCGAAGATTCTCTTACTTTATTTTAGTTTGTATATTTGTTTTTAAAAGTGTGGGCTTTCTGACTAAAAATTGTTAAGTGAGGCATGTTCAATGGAGTTCCAGGAGAAGTGATCATTCCACTTGAAAGCTATGGTAGATAAACACACTACATGAAATGTACACATCACTCAGTATATACAATCAATGAGTATATGATTGCCATTTCATTTTCTTTTATGTGCTCATGTGGTTATTTTTGTGCAAGGTTAATGTTTAATGATATAAAAGTTAGCTGCAAAAAGATATGTACACTTTCGACTTTGTAGACTGTAGACGTTGTAGGACATTGTAGATTTTAGTTTGCCACAAAATATCCATTTGGATAGAAAACAATACATTTCAGATAAATTAGGTTTACCAATTGTCTATACATATTGGACATTGCAGACATTTCTGGAAACATAACTATGTCTATAACATTGTAACTGCAAATCAATGAATTCACAGCTTAACATTTAGCTTTACTCTTCTTGATTTTTCCCCTTTGTAGTTGTATCTCATTCAGCATATACACCACCTCTGGGGCACAATGTGAAAACCTCACGATGAACCTGATTGCTTTCTTTGGGATATTGTTTGGAGCGTTGGCATTCCTCTTCCTTCTCTTATTGGGTATTGGTTTGGGCATCTACTGCTATCGTAAGAGGAAGAATAAAGAAGATGACACTGAGAGGTATACAATATCAAAAAGAAAGAGGATTCAAAATAAATTTCCCATTTATGGAAAGAGTAGCAGAACTGAAAGCATATCTAAATTAGAGAATCTATCCATTATGGAGAGCATTCCATCACATTTAAATGTAGAATCAGAATGCAGCTCAACAAATGGTCTATGGGTCAAATCAAAATGAAATGTGCCCATTCAATTTATACAATATATAAATATTAAAATTGGAGGATGATGCAAAAAAGTTAAATGTAAAAAAAGAAGTATTATACATGCCACAGTTGATCTAATATAGTATAATTTTGAGTATGTTTGTAATTTCACTTTTCTTTGGTTTAAGAATATTAAGGATCAAATGTCCTCCCCAGGGCTGGCCAATGGCATAGAGGTTATGTATAAAAGTGATTAAATTATTGACTGTGCTTATGTAAAAATAATTCCCAGCACATGTACACACCAACTTCAGCAAAATAGAAGATTGACTTAATTATTACTAGAGGAACACTGTAACAATATGTATACATATCTGTATGCCTAATACTATAGTTTTAATGTCCCACATTAGTTTCTGGGGCTCCTCTTCCCCCGCCTGCTGAAAAAAAAACACCCCAAAAAATAAATAATAATAATCTTCTCCTGCACCAATCCACGTTTCCAAGAATTCTAATTATTAAAATCAAGTAATAAAAGGGGAACTACTGTAGGCACTATAACAAATTAATTTAGATTAAGTTGTTATAATGAGTACTGTGGTCCTTTAAGTTATTTTATTGCAGATTATGTAAAAACATTTTTTTCATCACTTCATTGCAGTGCAAATGTCTGCAATTCTGTGTCAGACATTTCACATTGTAAGAAGAATTGAAAATTTAGAATGTTATACAGAATAAAAAAGTCAAATAGCTTTCTTCACTTTAACATATTCATTGGGGAACGTATGGACAACCTTGGTACACAATATAAGGGTACAACTAGAATGGTGTAATTATTCAACTCATTCATCATCCCAGTATCCTCTTGACACATTGTCTGATTAATATAATATTCAATTGGATGTTTCTCACTGCAGGTTACACCCAACAGAGTTTTCCTGGAAGAAGTCCCCAATATCAGGTAAGCAGAAAGATTCTTCTCTGAGATCTAGTCCACCATCCTTGTAATGACAGCTATTTAATGGCTCCAATCATTCACTTATTGCAGGTTTCAACAAACTGAAAGAGTCAACAATACCAACGTTAACCACAGATAAAAAAGAACCACATCTTGTAAGCTGGAAACCTCACTTAGAGAAAATTCAGAATTTATATGAGGTATGCATGGATTTTCATTATATAAGATAATGTACACACAACTACAACTCCCATGATTATCTGTCCATCTGCTACATACAAAGAGTTTGGGGAGTTTAGGGTGAAGGACAGATTTAAAGATCCATGATTTAGAAATTCTGCAATAGTAAAATGATGATATAAGACTATCTCTCCAAAATATTATAGAATTACAAGAACCAATACATTATTTTTATTTGTTTTTTAGAAAACAGAAAACATTTTTATTTTTTTTTCTACAACTTTTCTGCATAAGTACGCACGGACAGGGTTATTCACTAAAGTGATAATTCAAAGTGATTTCTAAGCAAATTCTAAATTTAAGGTCAAAATAGCCAATCTGGAAAAAATATAATTTGTAAAGTCATTTATGAAATAACCTTTTGTTAAACAACACATTTTTAAGTTCATAATGCCCTGTTGGGTAATATAATAATTGACCACCCCCTTTAAATGTTATAACAAAAGTTTTCAGTCTTCTGGAATCCAGTGCCATGTGCTGATTTCCATGCCTCTTTGTGACATCAGGGCAGCCACACAAGGTCCAGTCACAGGCTTCTTACATAGAAACCTGTGATTGGACCATTTTGCCAGCTCAGAGCACATGCACACAGTTCATTTTCTTCAATGACAGGTTGCGGGATGGAGTACACAGTGGGGGGAACAATCTTCCCTTTGCAGGCACTCTGGTTACAAGGGAAAGGATTATTATGTCTGTCATCAGCACGCTGTGCTCACTGATGACAGACACAAGATATGAACAGAGTTCTTGGCTGCCTAAGTCATGTCTGCAGGAGGGCATCTAGCCCCTGGCACACAAGTTCAATTATCTGAGTATGTGCAGTGTTTCAAGCTTAACACTGACTCCTTCAATCACTGAAGTGGTAAAGGTAGTTGGAGTATTGCTTTAAGGCTAAAATAAGCAAAATTGAAGCATAGCTGATTAAACTTTTATCAGTTTGACTATGTTGGTCTTAAATTTGAAATTCACTTAAAATTACCAAAATAAATTCTCACTTTAGGGAAAAGTCTGCTACATTTGGGTTTTCTAGTGATTTGTTGAATATGCAAGTTCATATTGTAAGAAACAATTGTGTTAGACTCAAGGAGATATATTGTGTCCTGTCTTCTGAAACATGATCAGGTCTAGCACTGGATTACAGTTGCGCATGCCTCTCACTTCCACTGTTATATGGGTCTCAGCCATTTAAAGTGAACGTTATGTGATTTACAACTTTAACTAAATCCCCCGTTAGACATTGAACGCATTATATATCATAGAAATACAAGATGTATTCAATGTACGATATTTTGATATACTAACTTTAACTCTGTACCAGCACCTCCATGTTTTGAACTTCATGGTTGCTACTCTTCATTTAACACCATCTTCTGGTCCTCCCTCCACTCCTCCCGCCAGTCTTCTTCAATTTGCCCTGTTTGGGGATGTTACCATAGCAAACACATGCACTGTGGTTTCTATGTGTGGAGAGCAGAAGGGCTGCCTGTAGGAGGTCCTTTCTGCTGTTCCGTGTCAGTCAATTCTATGGCATTGACTCTGTGCCGAATAATTGACTGACAGGTGGGAGAAAGACAAATCTTCAAAATGTTTTTTTTCTCCAATCTAAACCTTTGCTAACAAATCTGAAAAGTAATGGACTTTAGTGTATACGTTGTAGGTACCATGATAGCCTTTATATTTTAAAGGGATACTATAGTCACCAAAAACTTTAGTTTAATGAAACAGTGATATAGATAGATCATGCTTCTGCAGTCTCACTGCTCAATGCCCTGTCATTTAGTTAAATCACTTTTGTTTCTGTTTATACAGCCCTAGCCACACCTCGCCTGGCTGTGACTGACACAACGTGCATGAAAGAAATCGTTTTCACTTTCAATCAGAAGTAGCTTACTTTAAAAGTTTGTATCTCCTGCTCTGTAGATTGAACTTTAATTACATAAAGGAGGCTCCTACAGGGTCTAGCAAGCTATTTACAGAGCAGGATATACAAAACTCTTAATTAAAAAGAATTTGCAATAAAGAAGGTATTAAAAATTAGAAAACTTTACAGGAAGTTTTTAGGCAGGCTGTGCAAGTCACATGCAGGGTTAGGGCTGCTTAAACAAAGGGATTATACTCCTAAATTGCAGATAATTCGCAGTGATACTGCAGGGGCATGTTCTATACACCAAAACTGCTTCATTAAGTTGTTTTGATGACTATAGTGTCCCTTTAGATGAACATTTAAATTAACATATTTGCTATTGTTAAAAATTCAAGTTTAAAAATGAGTCATAAAATAACCCATTTTTTGCAGTGTTGATAGTGGAACATTTTAATTGATAGAGGAATTTTTGAATGGAATGTCCATTGTCACTTTGATGTGTCTATCATTGGAGAGAAGTGCACTGCATGCGGAAATATTCTGAGTAAGAGCCAGTCATGCTAAAGGGGGGGAAAAAATAGGTTGGACAGGGATGTATGTGTTACACCAGTGGTTCCCAAACCAGTCCTCATGGTCCACCAACAATCCAGGATTTATGTGTTTCCCTGTTTTCGTCCAATGGAAATACCCAACAAAACCTGGACTGTTGGTGGATCTTGAGGACTGGTTTGGCAAACACGGTGTTACATTAAATAACACTCATAATCCCCAGACCATTGTAATGCTAACATACATGTAAGTATTTCATCAACATCTCGTAAGCAAAAAAAATATAGAATTTATTACTCTGGTAAAGTATAAATGCATTACCTGAGGAAACACCATGGCTTTATGGAGATGTTATACAAAGTTTATTTGAAGTGTTTGCTTAAGCTTGCATGGTAGAGCCGCCTATATATACAAGATCACATATGAGATTATTTCTTATAGAGATAACTATAGGTTTGCAGTGAATGCGTAATGTAACCGCAAGGTTTTTTTTCTCTTTGCTTCCTAGGTGAAAATAAAAAGGCCTGAATCAAAAACCTGGGAAACAGATGAAATTAAAAAATAAGCTTCTCTGTGATATTTTAGCTGGTTTCATAAAACTCTTGATGACTGCAGTTATGAGATGAAGAGATCGTTTATTGTATGATTGAATAATTTGACTGCACTATTTCGGACTATTATTTATTAACAACTGGTGCATGTCATGAATATTTTGCAATAATTCACAGAATTCTACATGCTTCCAGGAAGCATTGTCTAGCCTTTCCCAAGAAAAATATGATAATCTAAAAATCCCATGGTGTAGACAGTCTATTGTTGTATTTGTAGGGTACAGTAGACAACCATGCTCTCAATATATTTAGTGTAAATCTAAATTATGAATCTGTGAATTCTTGCTTTGGCAGTTCAGCAATTATGCACACTATTGTAATCATTTATATTATCCAATGAAAGCGTTCTAGATACTATAAGGCTAATGATCAAGTCGGAAGACACTTGAATCTCATGCTACCAGGAGGGTGACAATATTTGCTTGGCAGCACCAGAAAACAGAAAAAAACAAACACATAGGAAGGAATGATGTATTGAAACTTTTCTTGTTATTACATACTATATTTTTGTATCAGATTTTTATATGTAATGATCATGGCAATATTGTATTTTTATCATATAAGTGTAATCATTTATCAACTGTCTCAAAGACATTACAGTAGCATGTAACAGGTGTCTCAACTTCAAGTATGATTCAGGAAAATGACGGAAATAAGCTAATGCAATGTTTCTTATTTATAGCGATACATTTAACAATTAAAATATTTTATTAGCATCTAAGTTATTCATTATTTTACCTTTTTGCTGGAGATCACATAATACCTTTATTTGCTATATTAATAGACGCCAATATGCTCTAACCTCTGTTAATTTCCAGAGATATATGGTGTTAAGGCAACATATAAAACATTTTGAGCATGTATACAGCATGATATAGGGAGTGTGAAAGAAAGCACATGGGCAATACACGGGAAGGCCGAGGGTTAATTTGGGGACAGTAAGTGGATAATAAGCGGCATCTGGGGTCTACGATTGATATATAGAGGACAATGTAAATTAAAAAAAAACAAGTATTGTTTTTATTTTCAATAAAATATTTCACAGTGGTACATGCAAAGCATGGTACAGAAAAACAGGGTAATGTACGTTATGGTATGAATCATTTACATATTTTTGGGAATACAGCAACACTCAGATGGGATCCGGAGACGATTACATCTTTCATACTGCAGGGGGACCTAACGAATACTTATTCCAAAGTCACAGCTCCTAGCCAAACCTTCTCCTCCTCGCCTCCTCACTCGTCTTGTACAAAAAGAATATCCTAGTGGAGCTGAGAGGCATAAAATCTCACAGGCTATGCCTGTTGCCTGGAGCTCCCTCATTCACTGCTTAATGGCCTGATGACTGGCACACTTCTGAAATATTTGACTCCTTGTCATTCTGGTTTCTTTTTTTTTTAAATACTTTTCTTTTTTTTATACACTGGCCTTGTTTGTCACTCCACATGCTGATATACATACTGTAGACACCTATGTTTGTCACGGTAGTACAGCTGTCCTTAAGGCTCATCTTTCCCAACACCGGTCACAAGCCTGTCCATCTCGGAGTGCCACTGATTTAAAAATAAAAAGCTTGACTTAGGGGTAAATTTTTCTGGACAAAATGTATTATTGTCTATACCTGCATTTTCTTTTTATATATTCAGGTTTTATTTTGTATAAATTGAGCATGATTCCTCACACTCATGAGTTGACTACAGATAAAGAATAAAAAAGGGGCAATCCAAGCCTTATAATGACTACATACAAACTGGAATGCCCTGGATGTAATAACAACTTATCTTGGTCTCATCAAGCTCTTGTGCTGCATAATGGCTTCTGCAGGAGTGGAAGGCAAATGTAGCTTTAGAGCAAAGCAATGCCCAAGCATGACCACAACGTTTGGCTGAGAGTTCACATCTGATTCTACTGCATTGCTGTAAAGTGATTTCTGTCTGCTCCTTATGGAGAAGACCATATGCAGTTCAGGAAACATCAGAACCCATTGCTGGTTCCATCACTGCAGTGGGCAGCGATGGTTACAGTGCTTAGTCTAAAATACTTTTGTAAAAATATGTAAAATCATCCTTAAAAATTACATTTTTAGTTATTTAATATATCCCATTTACAAAATGACAGAAAGTTGTTTCAATATTAACAGTATATATTTACATAGTTTGGTTAAATGGGCATCATATTACTAAATTGTATTTGCTTCGGACATTTTTTTGCCATTCATTCCATTCTTGTCTTAATAATATTTTCAGAGTATGCACGGTAGATTCATTTGTGATGTTTATTATCTAGAATGAAGTATACAATTTCTTTAACATCTGGCAAGTCACTAGTTTTCCAATATCTGGTTATGGTTGTAGTTGCTGCATTGAAATATGACCTAATATTGTTTTTGTCGTTTTGGAAGGTGATTTGAAATAGACAAATTTCGTGTGGTCAACTAGGGGATTAAATCTGTGATTGTATATATTTATTTGTGGACCGATTTCCAATGTGCGCCCACCTTGGGACACATCTACAGTATGTGATACAATGAGCTCACTTGTCCAAGCCCCCTCCAACATTAGTTAATTTAAATTATGTAATCCATCAGGTGTGAGATACCAACGATGAATGATTTTGTAGTGTGACTCTAAACATGCCACATATCGTGTAATGACCCTCAGCGCCGCCGCACATGCAAACCAGTCTGTAATATTCAGGATTTTTTTCAACTCTTTTTTCCCAAGCAAACATTAAATCAAATTTTTGGATGTTAATTAAATATGAGTAGCAAATTGAAATAGTCCTTCTTTTGGTGGGATCTGAATTGTATATATTTTTTAAATTTGATAATTCAGATGAACATTGATATGAATTGTTTTCTGAAAGGGCACATTTCATTTTGAGCAATTAACTTGTTCTGTCATGTGTGGGGCTCTCAGAGTCGGTTAAATTAAATGTGTCATTTAATTGCATGAATGGGGTACGTTTTCTGACCTAAGAAAATCAGTTATACGGAAAATAGAATGTGAAGTCCAATAATCAATGTTTAATTCTGGGATGTCTTTTTTCAAGATGGAAATAGGAGCTGCTTTAGACCAAATTTTGGGGGGTTTATTTATTTAGACAAGATGTCCCATGCTTTTATTGTAATCTTGGTTGTTGGAAACATGTTAATGAAATTTGGTCTGAGATGGAGGAAGCTAAATTAGGCTATTAATTGAATGTGGGAGAAATTTTATTGCCTCCATGTCAAGCCCATACCTCCTCCAATTCTAGGATTTTGCAATACGAATAACTTGATTCCTGCCGGTTTCCTATTCCAAATGAATGTCAAAAGAGCAGAGTGAAATTTTCTAAAGAAACATAGTCGAATGGTGAGAGGAATTGCTCTAATAAAGAATAGAATTTTTGGTACTATATTCATTTTGACTGAATTTTTTCTTCCAAACAATTAAATGTCTAAACTACACCATCTTTCTAAGTCATCTCTAAATGCGGCCCAAACTTTACCCAAGTTATTTGCATACATACTAGACAGACTCTTGCATAGAATGATGATGCCCAAATATGTGATATTTGAATCTCTCCAATCAAAGCCAAATAGTTTTTTTTTTTTTTTAAATGTCCAATTCATACCATGGCATAAAAAATGGAAGACCTTGAGTTTTGTTAGTATTTAATTTGTAACAATAAATTTCGCCAAATTCTTGCAAGATAGACATTAGTGGTTTAATTGAGGACATAGAGGACTCTATACAGAGAACATATAGCCAGTGATCTCTCCATTTGGAAGCTGCAAATGTCATAGAAACATAGAATGTGACGGCATATAAGAACCATTCGGCCCATCTAGTCTGCCCAATTTTCTAAATACTTTCATTAGTCCCTGGCCTTATCTTATAGTTAGGATAGCCTTATGCCTATCTCACGCATGCTTAAACTCCTTCACTGTGTTAACCTCTACCACTTCAGCCGGAAGGCTATTCCATGCATGCACTACCCTTTCAGTAAAGTAATGCTTCCTGATATTTTTTGACCTTTGCCCCTCTAGTTTAAGACTATGTCCTCTTGTTGTGGTAGTTTTTCTTCTTTTAAATATAGTCTCTGCCTTTACCCTGTTTCTATCATATCCCCTGTCTCATCTTTCCTCCAAGCTATACATGTTAAGATCCTTTAACCTTTCCTGGTAAGTTTTATCCTGCAATCCATGAACCAGTTTAGTAGCCCTTCTCTGAACCCTCTCTTAGGTATCAATATCCTTCTGAAGATACGGTCTCTTTCTACTGCTAATACCTCTCCCTATACAACCAAGCATTCTGCTGATATGGATGTATTTACTGGAATTTACTAAGTAGGAGTCCATTTTGACAGGTGAACTAGATATGTTACTACACAAAGCGGTTACTACCAAAGCAATTGTCCTATGAGAGATTGCAGGAAAGTCATTACATGCAGAGATTCCTCCATTTCATTTATACAATGCACTGATCTAGCAAAGAAGAAGGGCAATTAATATATTTTTGAGGGAGGGCTAATTAACAGAAAAATGCAGAGATTCAACTTTGTGTCAGCTTTATAGAGGGCTAGTGCAGACAACAGAGGATCTGAAGAAGGTGTAACCAAAAATACTTAGGTGTGTAAAGGAGTTGTCAAGTTGTTGTATACATTTAGCCTTGGAAATGCCATTTGTGGGTTTTTTCTAGTCTATAAAAGATTTCACGCAAAGTTAGAAAGGTACGCTATTTCACTTGGCATCCATAACAGTGTAATTGTTTTAGATCTATCCAAGGAGACTAATCTAAAGCAAAAGTCCAGTTTGGAAGTTCAATGAGAAGAATGGATGGAAACAAATTATCTCTCAAAGATTTCACAAACTAACACATATACATTAATACATTCTAGCAGACATCTACAGACATTCTCTCACACACACATATACGCACAGTAGAGAACATATATAAACACGCTAAGGCAAAACCAGAGACACTAATAAACACACCCATGTACTTCATGATTTTATGTATAATGGTGTAAGAGATACTTTACCCATTAACAGGCAGCAGTTATTAGAAAATGTCTCCCATAAGGACAGGGCAGGGAATTTCTTTGGGGCTGCTGTAGCTGTAAATGGCTAGTGGCTATTGTGTAGTAAAAAAAAAATATGAGGATGTGTGAGGAGCAATAACATCTAGTCACTCCCCGCGATGCACAGGGCTTAAGGCCATTGGGGTACAGCATAATGTAATGGGTGTGTGTCATTGTTTATATCAGAGTATGCAGTGTGTGTATATCACTATCAGAGAGAGTGTGTGTGTGTGTGTGTAGGTGTGGGACAGTGAGAAGGACAGAGTTTAATTTAAAAAAAAACATTTGGTTTGCCCAATATATGGAATTTTCAATAATATTTTGCATAAACACGCAGGCATATTATTATATAATATTTACATTAGTTTAAAATGTAATCGTAATGTTGTATATAAGGTATATGTTTATAAAAATGTTACTATAAAGCACATGCATGAAAGGAGTACTCCAAGCACTATAACTACCACAGCTGCAGTGGTTATAGTGCCAAGAGTGCCCAGATGCTCCCCCCCATGCAAGTAGTCCGCAAAAATAGAAAAAAAATGAGGGCAGCGCAAACAACTGTAAATGTGCTCACCAAGTGCTACAAAAAGATTATATTAAGGACATAAGGTACAAATGTTTTGGCTAATCTCCTTTGTCAATGCATGTCCTTCCAGAATTCTTGGCTATAGAGAGGAGGTAGGGAATGATGCTGGTAGACCCCAGGCAAAACAGTGAGGGGGCACCATAAGCACTACAGTACATTATAGTGATTACAGTGCTTGGAGTATTCTTTTAATATACATTTATATTTGCATAAAACACTCAGAAATTGTAGCAAATACAAATCTGAATTGCCAAAATATTAATAAAACATTCAACAACATACAGCTAATGTTTGAGACCTATTTTCACAACACATTAGGGTAATAGATCTGAAACATGGATAATATTCTGTTGCACATTTGCTTAAAATAAAAGTAACTGTTCTTTCGTTTATTTGCAACTCCTGTAAGTGCAGTGCTTCATGCTGCAGTAATCATTTTTCAATTTTCACCTGTATATCTGATTGCTGTACTGATACAATGCAGTAGGGCTGCTTTGTATTCCTAATTTGGGCAAATAGTTTATTATATCAGTATTGATGTAATTCATAATTTCGAATCACACAAAAAAATGTGTCCTCTAAAAGCTATTTACATATTTTGCTACTTCTATTTAATATATGCTTCCAAATACAGAGAATATTTTAAGTTCAGAACCTGCTAGAAAGGCCAGAATTTGCTCTCATGGTTGACAATAGCTGTGACCCGGCATTCACATAATCAAAGTAACCTAGATAATCAGACATGGTTAAATCTAGGCTGAAAGATTACTTGTTAAACAGGAAAAGGTAGATCTGTAAGCTTTGTTACCACATTCCTTGGCACTTTGAAGGTAATTACTGTGATATTAGACATAGTGTCATAGCACACCTTATATTCACATAAGTCTTATGTCTTTAGTGTCAGTAGAAATGAATTAATCAGCTGGTATTTACAAATGTATTGTCAGCAGTAGAATCACATGAAGAGATGCCCAGGATATTGTTTATTTAATGTACAGATCTCACCATCTATGTAGCCAATTACTAAGACTCTCTAAATCTCAGTCCTCTCCTCCTACTGTACTTTTTCTCCACTTATGACATGTCTGTGTTTTCCTCCATCTCCTCTGCAATCTTTTATTTCATTCACTCCAGTCACTGTTCTTTTCCCTTCCATGTCCATTTTATATGTCCTTCCCTGCTTGTTTTTTTTTACCCTCTTCCTCCTCTATTTTTTATGTCTGGCCTGTTTCCCTCTCCTCTCCCTTTAACCCCTTAAGGACCAAACTTCTGGAATAAAAGGGAATCATGACATGTCACACATGTCATGTGTCCTTAAGGGGTTAAACATTTGTGTCTCTGTGTCAATCTCCAGTCCATTCTCCCTAAGGATGTGACCGTAGGTTAGATAGACTGTGGGTTTTGCAGATAATTTTACTGTTCCATCATAATACAACAAATCCCAGAGTATTTAGAGTGAGGATAGGCAAGCAGTAATATGCCAGTTTTCCAACCTGACACCAAGCAGAAATGGCAACAGATTTAGGCTGCAATCAACCAAAATATTTTCATCAATTCTGGCGCTTGCTTACAAACCCCTACATAATGCTGCTCCAACATACCTATCCTCCCTCATACACAAGTATGTCCCGTCAAGACCCCTGCGCTCAGCCCAAGACCTACTCCTATCCTCTGCCCGGATCCCCACCTCTGATGCTCGCCTTCAAGACTTCTCCAGGGCTGCACCTATTCTGTGGAACTCCCTTCCCTCCTCAATCAGACTTTCACCCAGCCTCCATTCCTTCAAAAAATCTTTGAAAACTCACTTCTTTATTAAAGCGTATCAATTAAACTGTCAGCAGGTTTCTCATCCCCCACCCCATGACTCCGTTCCTTTCACCTGTCAAAAATGACCTACCAAGCACTCAATAAACCCTTCTGTAACAAACTATTTAATTCCCCTACTTTAACCCTTTGTGTCACTATACCCCACTCCCTCTAGCATGTAAGCTCATCGAGCAGGGCCCTCAACCCCCTCTGTTCCTGTACGTCAGTGGTCTGATCTCAATTATGTGTCTGTTAGTCCACCCATTGTACAGCGCTACGCTATATAAATAATAAAATAATAATAATAATAATAATCAATATATTCAAAGTCCAGACTGAAAAGGACACGACTGTGTACTGGAAACCAAGGTTACTCTTAGTAACATATTTGTAGTTTTTTTGTTGTTTTTTTAATTCCCTTTATTAAGTTTCAATGGATACCCAGTATAAGTAAGGAGTATAAGCATTGCCTTTCAACTTAAAATTTTTTTTTTATTTTTTTTAAACTATATATTGGGACACCTTTCTATTGTATCAATGGCAATAGGATGGAATGTATGTCGTTACAAGATCAGAGCATGTCAAATTTTGTTTATGTGTGGCAACAGTGTAAATACATGTGAGCGCTATCATGTCAGACTTTAAGTGGGTAATTTTGGTGTGACTGTGTGTGCAATATCATTGTTTGTGCTTTCATTCCATTAAGCAAAGCACAGCACACATCAAACCTTGCTAGAATAATTGTGGGATCACTATAGAAGCTCCATTAACATGGTCTACATCAATCACAAACACGAACACACATACACACACATACTCTTTCCATCTCCTTCTATTCTATTATACACACACATACACTCTCTTTTTCTATAAATACTTCTCAAAACAAATTTACTCATTCTTACTTGCATAATCAAACACACTTTTACCTTTGCATATACTTGCACACAAAGGACCACTCTTTATATTGCTGTGCATGCATACATATATACATACTCACACCCTGTCTATTTTACACATGCATTGTAGTAAGCTGATAAAATGATTTGATAACTTTCAGAGTAAAGATGTAACTCACTTTTCAGCCTGGTGGCTCACATTATCAGCTCATACTATGGAGCTTAGGGACTAGAACAGGAGTTGGCAACCTTTGGCACTCCAAATGTTGTGGACTACATCCCCCATAATGCTCTTACACCCATAATGCTGGCAAAACATCATGGGGGGTATAGCCCAAAACATCTGCAGTGCCGAAGGTTGCCTATGCCTGGACTAGAAGCTCGTCATAATTCAAGCACCCATTTTTAAATTATAACTTCCAACTAGAAGCTTTGCTATTCTCTATTTTACACCTCCCAATCATATCACAATTACCACTGGCCAAATATCTTTTTGTTCCTCAGTGTGCTTAAGTAAAACATTTGTGAATCTCCATGTTTGGATGATACACAGTGTAGAGCTTTTAATGTAATGTCACAACTCTACTCTGTGTCTGTATCATCCATATAATAGTCATAGGAGAAATGTGACCGTGTGCATTGCAGAAATGCAAGAACCCCTTACTCCAACCTATGGATCCCCAGAGAAGTTTCATTAATCTTCTTGTGATCATGACACTGCTGTACCACTAGCAAAACAAAATTATAATGACCAATACACATACAATAAAAAATATACACATCACTATGAGGTTATTATAGGCATGGAACTCAGGTAGAAGCCTTACTTCTCTGTCAGAAATATGGATGAAAACAGAAATGAAAGCAAAATAAGTACTGTTCACATGTAGTAGGTCACCTCAAGGTCACATACCTTACAGGTATGTTTCATCCTGTTACTGGAAATAATGGGGTAATGGGTGGGTAAAAGTGCGACCATGAACCGATCACATCATTGGTGCATCTGCCAAACATCATTTAGTCATTCTTAGACATAGATAAAAAAAAAATATGATTAGCTGGCACTGAAATTACAGTGCTTACTTTAAAAATTGATTACAATGGTGTCAAGTTCTGCCTTGTGGCTACAATTCAGCTGAATATTGTGTGGTAACAGATATTTCCTCTCACATGCTGATATCTTTCTCTTTGCAGAAACACCTGAACTCTTGCAGGTTTCTCTGGGTGAAAGTGCACAGAGCAAGAACTAAATTTTACCTATAAACTGTGTGCGCTCTTCTGAATTAAAACCCCTATTGTATTTATTGGTTGACAAGAGAAGCCATAATTCAACACACAAATACATTTTAATAAGAGAAAAATTGAGGATACTTATGACTTACTATTAAATGTGATAGTGATAAATAAAACCCCAAAGAGGTTACCAAAGGGCCCCGTGTTATTGGTCAAGATAGCCTTCCAACTAGAAAATAGGCAAATAGTGGCCTGTGAAATTGCCCATTAATCATTTGGGGATTGTGAATACTTGCCTTTCTTATCTTGAAGACAGGGCTGTGAAGAGTTTATATACAAGGCAAAGGCTGTCCATCCTTTTAAGTTTTCTTGTTGGGTGTGTAATAAAACATAGATGGATTAGGGAATCCTTAAGTCCTGTAATGTCATTTTTGATCAACTTTTCAAGTAAAGGGCAAGGAGATTTATAATACAAGCAGCCCTTCAATAGCAATGTGATGCAATACATATCATTATGGAACATATAGTCCCATGTCTAGCATCAAGATGACAATTCCATCCTTTGTCCATACAAATGGGCCCCTAAAAGAGGATATTTTAGTGCCAGTGCTGGTTAGTAAATTCATTTTCTCAGTGCTGGTTTTATTGTTTATGTGGAATTCAGAAATTATAGTACAGTATGGTGCTACACTTTGTGGTCATTGAATGGTGTTTCTACCTACTACACTTGAAAATAAATAATAAATTTGTCTCAAATCCTAAGAGTGCATATACTTATTTGCATACTATCTATAGCAGACTAACTGTACTAAGGCTATAACAATATCATATCAAGAGAGAGCTGGATCAATCATAATATTATTTAAGGCAGTGTTCCTATTTATGAATCCCATCCATGAGGCAACTATTGTTGAGAAAGCATCAGTGGAAGATGTGAAACAAGTTTTTGGTATGGGTTAAGTTGTGTACCAAGTGGATAGCGGAGGTCTGCCCCTGCTGACAGGTGGGAGGGAAGTACACATAGCACCACCATATCCCATGACTCATTCTTATTAAAGTGGTCGTGTGGGATGCTGTTTGAAGATTTCACTATCCCCTACCTAGGTCTAGAAGGAAGGAACCTGCAACAATTATACTGGTGGGTGGGTGGAGTTATATGATTCCAACACCTGATGCCTGGTAAGGGCCACATGCTTTCCCACCACTAGACACCAGGAACTGTAATTCCTGCCATGGCTTCCCCCCCCTTGGGGACCATAACATTAAGAGATTTGATGACCTACATGTGTTCCAGCACCTGTGTATGATTGTCAAGCTTGACTAGTCCACCTGGGTACTAAGAA